TTTGTGTTTGTGTTTGTGTTTGTGTTTGTGTTTGTGTCTGTGTTTGTGTGTGTGTGTGTTTTGGTGTGTTGTGGTGTGCATTCTGCGAAGTGGCCAAGCAGGCTAAGGGCGTTTTTTCTTTCAATGCTTAGTCGTTCTGTGGGCGCGAACGTTAAATCAGGCGGTCAGGGGCATTCATGGGATCCCTTGCAGTGAGAATTCTGTAGTCCCAGCTCTGTTGAACCACGGCTGCCTGTCGGAGCGCTTCGACGCGCCGGAGGTGTGCCTGGAATTGCTCCTCCTTGGGGGGGCCTCGTGGAGCAGACTGGCTTTCCCTCGTTCACGCTGCTCTATGACTCCGACCCGAAACCCGAAACTAAACCTCGACAGCCTATAACATTCTCCTAGTCAGGACTTAAAGGGCCCTAAAAGCACAGAAGCCCTAAGTACTGAAACCCTAAACCACCCCAAACCGTAAGCCTTAAACCCATTCCCAACCCCCCCACCCCCGCCCCCGACGCCAAGTCTTGCTTCATTTCCGCGGCTTTCCGGAAGGGTAAACGTCACGGAGGTGTGCCTGCATTTGCTGCTGTCGGGAAAGTCTTTGTAATACTGCCACATGTTTTTGACAACGTCAAGTTCCATACTTTGAGACCTGAGAATCATTTCGAACTACCGAAAGTAGCTGCGCAAGTTTCTTTCGCAAGACAAGGAATAATTAACTCCAAAAGCACCGCACTACAAGCTTAGGCCGACACCACGTCAGCAGCACTACAAAGACCACTTTAAGAGAACAATCAAGACCCCAAAGCACCCAAAAAGACACTCCAAGGACACTCGCAAAAGCACTCCAACGCCATTTCACGAGCACACTACGGCCCATGGCGTAATAGCCACGACAGCTCTGCACTACACAAGGAGCAAATGCGTGGGACCGAGGAGAGCGCTATTTGCAACATGCCGAGACGCAAAGAGACGCGCGAAGACAACCCAAAGAACCCAAAATGCGGGAAGCCCTGTCGCTGCCACGTTGTCGGAGCATGGAACATGATAAGCCTGAAAAAGCCCACGGAACACGACTTCCACCTCTTCCACGTCAATGATACGCCATGTAGAACCCTTTACCCCCACTCTTTGCAGCTTCGTCACCAGCAACGCAGAGCGAGCTGCCCGCCGCTCCCGGCACGCCTGGAAGTGCACTGGTGAGATGAGTCTGGAGCGCAAAACCCGAAACCCTAGGCTTGAATTTGTCACTTCTGGCGCGACCCGCCCTGGCGAGGCGCCGCCGGAAAAGGGCCGTGCCACCATGCCTAGGATTGGGAGGCCCCACCGTAAACCCGGAACCTTAAACCCTGAGACCCTCAGCCCAGAACCTTAAAGTAAACCCAAGAAGTTTAGTGCCTAATCCCCTCGGGTCTGAAGCTTCAGCGACCCAAGAAAACTCTTGAACCCTAAATCCGCGTGCCCGCAAGCCTTCAACTTCGAATTTAATGGCCGTACTCCCCTCAACCCTCATTTCTAATTTAGAAGCTTTAGGAACCACTTGCTGTGCTGCACTTGCCCTAAACACTGCATGCTTTCAGACAAGAACAGGAATGACCGTAATGGCCACGCAGGTGCCTGGAGGCGCAGCGCTGCGTGCAGCGTCGCGCGGCGGGCCTGCCCACAAACATTCGCGACAGCACGCTCCAGCAGCACGTGCCCCCGAAACGTCATTCCGACTCATTCCTCTAAACCCCTTGCAAAATTTCAGTCTTGGCTGCCTTAGATCACGAACAGCTGAAACCGCGACGACCCGCGTGGAGGGGGAAGAAGGGCCAAAGTTTCGGCAATAGGGGGGTCTGCGAAGAAACTCAGAACTCCATCTCCATACAGTCAACTCCAAACCCCAACCCTCAGGAATCGCAGCTCCGCCTTTCGTGCAGCTTGCATGCGAGACTGCAGGGGTGGAGCGCAATCCCCCCAACCTGAACCCCAAACCCAAAAACACCCCAGACATGCGAGACCAAGACTCGCCAGAGCAGCCTAAGCATTAAGAGCAGTGCAAAATCATCCGCGCCTCCACACGCGGGTCGCCCGCAGGCCGGGCCGCGGCGGCATTGTAGGGTTTAGGATTTAGGGCTTGAGGGGTTGAGGGTTGAGGATAAAGCCATCCTTTCAGGGATACTTAGTTTAAGAAACTTTAGTTTGTCCACCTTGGCCGTGACTGGAACTTATCTCCAGTAAATTCACACCAAACCTCCAAAGAAACCAGACGCAGCAGTTCCAAGGCAAGGTTCCTGCTCTAGGTAATGCTTGAAGTTTATGTTTTTGAAAGGGGTGGCCCCCTTGTCTTGGTGGTTTTATCCACCCTCGGCCGAAGAAGGGGGTCGAAAACCCTCCCCAAGAAGACCCAAAAGATGGAAACCCAACCCCCTCCCTCCCCCCCAACTCGACCCGAACGAACCAAACGAAACTAAATGTAATGTCTAATGCGTGTCTGGAATATAAATAGGCAACAGTAAAAAAATTCCTCCAAGGACTATAGTCAAGAGATGTTCTGGTAGCAAGGGATGGTCTGGTAGCAAGGTCGCTCTCGTTTCCTGATTCGGGTTTCCGATTCGGAGTTTCCGATTCACACTAGTCTCTTTTCCCGCGGGTTTCTGATTGAAACCCTAAGCCCTGAAGGCCTACGGCGGTTGTGAGTTTAGAGCTGCCTTTATGGAAAAGGCTCTTCTGGCTTAAGTAGGGCTCCAAATCCTTAATTTAGGGTCCGAAACCCTGAATTTAGGGTCCAAAAACCCTTTTATTTAGGGTCAAAATCACTAATTTAAGGTCCAAAACCCTTAGTTTTAAAGCTTCGGCCCTCAAAAACCTTAATTTAGGGTGCAATCGCCTTAATTTAGGGTCCGAAACCCTTAATTTAAGGTCCAAACCCTAAATTTAGGGTCAAAATCCTTCATTTAGGGTCCCAGGCCCTTAATTGTTAAGTGTCGGCCCTGGCAAAAGACTCTGGGTTTAGGGCTATCATTTTACTGATTGGGAGTGGCCTTTTCGATTGCCACGTGGACCTTCCGGTCCAAGGACCCACGGCTCGCCTTCCGGCCTTCGCCTACGGTCCGCAGCCGCCTTCCGGCCGCCTGCTGCGACCGGCCCCTTGCCTGAAGGGGGGCCGGTCTTCAGTTTAGGGTTTATGGTTTAGGGTTTATAGGGTTTATGGGGTTTTATAGGGTTTATATAGGGTTTTTATAGGGGTTTATAGGGTTTTTAGGGTTTTTAGGGTTTTTAGGGTTTTTAGGGTTTTTAGGGTTTTTAGGGTTTTTTGGGTTTTTAGGGTTTTTAGGGTTTAGCGTTTAGGGTTTAGGGTTTGGGGCTATATAGGCCTTACAAAAAGCCCCGTAAGGTTTCGGGTTTGGGCTGCAGGGCTTAGGAGGCTTGAGGGCTCGGGTAGCTTTCAGAAGGGCGTGAACCTCCAATCCAAGTAGGGCAAGACCATAAACCCTGGTTCAAAACATCAAAAAAGATTGTTGCACGGTTCGGGCGGAGAGGTTTCATCGGCTTATTGAAGTGGGGGGACGGGGTCTAGGGTTTAGGGTCTAGGGTTTGGGGTTTGGGGTTTAGGGCTTAGGCTTAGGTTTACATCTGGGGTTGATGGTTGAGGTTTGAGGGTTCACGGTTCGGGGTTACAAGCTGCCCTGCACCCTCCCCCCAAGCTTGCCAGCCTCGCACGTTATCAACCCCAAACCTAAACCTTTTGACACCTTCTAAATCCTAAACCCTAAACCCTAAACCCCTTCAACCCTGAAACACAGAAGCCCTGAACCTACACACCCTAAGCCCTATGTTCTAAACCCAAAACCCCTCTGCCACAAGGAAAGAGCACCGCAACAGCGCCCAGCCAATGCCACCGGCCCGGTTCCTTCAAGGGATTCTTCTGGCTCCAGGAAGAATTATTGAGTGCAGCCGGTTTAGGGTTTAGGGTTTTTGGTTTAGGGTTTTTTTAGGGCTTAGGGGTTGTCAAAAGCGCCAACAGTCACATGCAAGCGCTCGTGACATAACCAGAGCTCGGGCGCGGCAAGTTGTAGGGTTCTTGCGGGCTTCGTGTTGGACGGTTGCTGAACCCAGATCTGGACTGACAACACTTCGTGGGGGTGTCGCTTTTCAGGTTGCCCGTCGCTTTGCAAGGTGTTGGCATGGCTTTCTTTGCTTCGAAAGCTATATTCATGCTGGAGGCTTCACATTCAAGATTGGTGTTAGGTATCAGATGCTTTCGGTTGGAAATAAGAGAGAAAAGGCTGCTTTAGGGACTGCTACGCACTGCTGAGGCTCCAACCAACAAGATTATCAGGACGGTACAAACACTACAGCGCCTGGAAGCTGCACGATAATGTTGCTGTTCTGGAGAAGAACTGTCAACGTTGTCTTCCTGAATAGTAACAAAGTGCAACCCTATGAAGGGTGCCGTGCTATATATATATATATATATATATACACATATATATATATATATATATATATATATCATATGTGTGTGTATCTATATATATACACACATAGTATGTGTATATATATATATATATGACCCAAAACGGGACCCTAATTTAGAAAACTTCCCATACGGGCATCCTGCATCAATGGACATCAGGCCCCAAAGGCCCCGCCCCAGAGGCCTCTTCAGCGAAGAACGCGGCGGACAAGACGAAGGAAATCTGCCATCAGACTGGAGACTGTTGGGTGGAAGGTTGAGGGCTAGAGGTTTGGGGCTCTCCCTGGAAAAAGGTGAGCCCGGGGTTCTGCAGTGTTCTAGATGCTTCAGAAGCTGTCTTGGGCATAGAGGAGCGTGGACCCAAACAACCTACTCGCTCGTAGAGCTTGCTGAAAAGTACGTGTATTTCCTGTCGTCCCTTACGACTAGAAAGCTGAAATAACCCCCAAGCCCTAAACCCTAAACCCTAAACCCTAAACCCTAAACCCTAAACCCTAAACCCTAAACCCTAAACCCTAAACCCTAAACCCTAGACCCTAACCCGAAACCCTAAACCATCCTGAACCCTAACCCCTACAACCCTAGTCCCATGTCCCAGAACCTGGCAAGGGAGATGAAAGCAAAGGCCTAGAGTAGGCTTAAGAATGCCACAGGAACTCAAACATTTACGGTTTAGGGTTTAGGGTTTAGGGTTCAGGGTTCAGGGTTTAGGGTTTAGGGTTTAGGGTTTAGGGTTTAGGGTTTAGGGTTTAGGGAACCTCAAACCCAACGCTGCCGAGGCCACAAACCGCTGGAAGGTGAGGATGAGATTTGCTGTGAGAGCCTCGGCGCCGATGTGCTGGGTTGCTGTTAAGAAACTCAAACATCTCAGGGTTTAGGGTTTAGGGTTTAGGATGTTTAGGATGTTTAGGATGTTTAGGATGTTTAGGATGTTTAGGATGTTTAGGATGTTTAGGATGTTTAGGATGTTTAGGATGTTTAGGATGTTTAGGATGTTTAGGATGTTTAGGATGTTTAGGGTTTAGGGAAACTCCACACCCGAAACCAGGGGCTGCGCACTTGCCCCTATCCGCAAAGTTGCACTCGGTCGGCGTTCTCCGCATGGCAGCATTACTTCAGGGACCTGTTTCAGGCCCTTGCCTACCGCTGCTCTGCCATCCTCGGGAGACCTCTACTTGGAGGTTCATGGTACTTATTAACCAGCTATAACTGTACGTATAACTGTACGTAGAACCATATGAGAGCACTTAAGGGGCTTAAAACTGGGTAATAGGGTACAGTTGTACTTGGCTAATAAGTACCATGAACCTCCACAAGTAGCATCCAGCCACCTTGCAGCCTGCAGCCCCCCAGCAATGAGGCGCTGGGGGTGCATCCTGGAGTCTGAAATTACCTGGACGTCCATGAGATGTGCGGGCATTATGCAGCGTCTGCAGAAGAAGGAGTGGCAATCGGGCAGATGGCCACCCTTTTGTACTTACGCGTAAAGCCCTTGTTCAAAATCACACCGGAAAAGGGCGGGCTTCAGTGAGAGTTTAGGGTTGAGGGCTTAGGCAGCTCAGCTCTCGACCTTTGGGACACTTTGGGACTTGTTAGGCCGAAACTTGGGGTTCTCGGTATCTTGGGAAGGAGCCGGAACCTTACGGCACGCGTCTGGTGCGGCAGCGTGGCTCGAGCTTTAGGAAAGACCCTGATCAGTTAACAACACGATATTCTGGGGCCGTTCCGCGGGGTGGGTGGGGGACTCTAGAGATTGCGAGTAGATTTGCTTAGATTCTGGGCCACCAATGTTGCTGTGTATAAGCGACTGCATCCAAGAACTTGAGCGCATCCATTGAGTAGAGCCCGAAGAGGCCGCCAGTACTGAAACTCGCTTCGGTCTCTAAGAAGCATTGAAGCCGTACCGGTTGATATCTAACCGCATCTGTTCCATGAGCCGTATCCATTTCTGTGCGTCACGATGAAGACTCCAGCCTCGATACTTTCGCCATGGATCTTTCGGTTTCGTATACATTTGAGGGCCGTCTCGGTTGAAGCTCGACTTTTCTGCCTACTAGAGCTTGCGCTTTACTGCTTCCACGCACCTCACGACTCGGCCATGATCGCACAGTTATACTATACAGGATAAGCCCAAAGAAGCCGAAATCATGGAAAATGCATCTAACTTCTCACCACCCGAGGAACTAAAACCCCCAAACCTGAAACCCAAGAACCCGAATCTTAAGGTGTAGGGTGTATAGTTCAGGGGTGCCAGGGTTTTAAGGGGAAAGGCTCAGGCTTCTCCCGTGCCGTGTTTGACGACCTGTTCTGACCAGGGAGCAGAGGTCCTCTCGATGATGTGGCCGATGCACACCCTGCAGCCGTAGTCCATGACCTTTGAAGAACTTGGCTGGTTCATGGTCTACAGGACCGGATTGTTGGGCTTAGGGCTTAGTACTTAGGGCTGAGGGCTTAGGGCTTGGGGCTTGGGGCTTGGGGCTTAGGGCTTAGGGCTTAGGGTTTAGGGTTTAGGGTTTAGGGTTTAGGGTTTAGGGCTTTTGTTTTGTGAAGGCTTCGCCCGCGCTCCGGGGTTGGAGGCCTCTAGGACTTCTTAACCCTAAACCCTAGACACTAAACCCCAAGCCCTAAACCCTTACGCTCAACACCTTCGAGTGACTCAGGCGGCTGCGGTCTTGTATGGCTTCGGTTTGAGTTTTGAGGGTTGAAGGTTTAGGGCTTCGGGTTTGGGAGGGTCGCGGCGCTGAGCTGGTCCTCGCGGGATCATTCAAGGCTCGTGCATTCATGAGGGCACCTAGCACGGCTCATCGCCATACCTGAGACTGCTCGTGTGTGACATAAATGACGGTCTCCGATGTAGACCGGTAGCCCAAAAACCCTAAAACCCTAAAACCCAAAAACCCAAAAACCCTAAAACCCAAAAACCCTAAAACCCTAACCCGCAAACCCTGAGATCCGGTGCAGGATGCCCAAATTCAGGTCTCAGGAACACCAGGCAGACCGAGGCTGCTTCACAAACACAACCTGCAAGTCCTTGAAAGGTTTAGGGTTTGGGGTCTAGGGTTTCGGGTTTGGGGTTTAGGGTTTAGGGTTTTGCTTTCCTTGTTTGGCTCGAAGAGGACCCTTTTTGAGAATTATTGTCTAAGTTGTAAAGGGTTCCGGAAACCTGAATCCCAACAATCCGGTCCAAGCGCCACTAGATCTCCTGAACCCAACGACCTCCGAAACCCTAACCTCCTCAAGCCTTACTTCTTCCACAACCAGATAAGCAGCTTCAGAGCTGAATTTTTTGGTCCACAACTCAAGGCGGCCACGAAAGACTTCCTCTCCTGAGAAGGTGGCCGTGTTGAGGGAAAGGAGGACCCATGGCCCAGGCCAGGAAAACGTGTAGGTGCCTGGTCCGGCTGCAGGTCGGTAGGGTTCGGTAGGGCTTAAGTTTTTGGAGGGGTGGGGAGGGGGGGGTCGGGTGAAAAGCCCATAGATGAAAAGCCCGAAAACCTGAGACCTAAGGCCCTTCAATACCCCGAACACCAACCCTAAACCCTAAACCCTGAACCCTAAACCCCTAAACCCTAAACCGCTAAACCCTAAACCCCTAAACCCTAAACCCTAAACACTAACCCCTAAACCGGGGCTTGCTGGGGGCTCACGGGAGTCGTCGTGGAATGACAATGTGTCTCAAGGGTGCAGGGCTTAGAGCTTGGCTTAGGGTTTAGTAGAGTTTAGGGTTTAGGGTTTAAGGTTTAGGATTTAGGATTCAAGGTTCAGGGTTTAGGGTTTCGGGTTTAGGGTTTAGGGGAGTGGGGCGTCTTGTTACTGAGAACTTGTCGGCAAGACGCACATGGTGCGATCTACGCTGATAGGGCAGAGGCTTCCCTAAACCCTCCAGCCAACTCTGAACTTTACACCCTACACCGGACACCCTAAACCCTACACCTCAAACCCTAAACCCTAAACCCTAAACCCAGAACCCAAAGCTCCTGTAACCAGAGCCTGGCCTGAGACCCACCTTGCGCCATGGGCCACCACAGGCCCGGCGTGCATGAGCACCTGCGGGGGCTTTTCGGCGGGCGCAAGGTTTAGGGTTTAGGGTTTAGGGTTTAGGGTTTAGGGCTTGGGGCTTAGGGTTTTAGGGGTTGGGGTCTGGGGCTTAGGCTTAGGGTTTAGGGTTTGGGGTTTAGGGTTTAGGGTTTAGGGCTTAGGGTTTAGGGTTTAGGGCTTAGAGCTTAGGGTTTAGGGGTTTGCCTAAGGGTTTAGAACAGGACTCAGGGGTTTAAGGGTTTTGGGGGCTTTTTGGGGTTTAGAGTTTAGGGTTTAGGGCGTACGGTTTAAGGTTTGGGGCTTAGGGCATAGGGTCTTGGAGTTAGGCCTTTCGGGCTTAAGGGTTTTCAACCGGACTTGAGGGTTTAAGGGCTTCAGGGGCTTCAAGGCTTTAGGGACTTCAGGGGGACTCGAAGACCGGGCTTTCTGAGTTTACCTGAAGGTTGATGAGCACTTATCAGTAGAGTGATAGTAAAAAACGAAACTATAGCTGTGACCCCCATTCAGGTACACACACACACACAACCATAGCTATGTTGAACCCAGACTTGGCTACTTACAAACTCACTTGGAATGACCCATGAACCTTCAAAGAAACCTTCAAACCTTTCACATCCCACCCGTATCGGGTGCAAGCCCAGAAAAAGTGTACTCTTAAGTAACCCTGTGGGTAAGGATACCTTACAGGTTTTCCTTATAGTGTTTCATTCCTTGCTTTTTTTTGTAGGGTGGGGCGGGGGGGCAGGGGCGAGGAAGGGGGCACCTCATTCCATGGCGGCAGTAGAGTGCAGCGTTTCGTTCTGGGATCTTATGCCCCCACCCACCCCCACCTCAACCAGCCCCAAAGCCACCACTGTGAGTGGGGAAGGCCGGGCTCCCTGCCAAGAAACGTTAACATAGGCGCCTCAATAATTCGAGTGGGGTTTTTGAGGGGTTACTACTACGGTATCATGAGATGGGGGCCAAAATGGGAATACTGTAAGTAAGTATTCCGACCCTTACATGACTCCCCACAAACCTCAAGTTACAGCCCTCCGCCCCCATCCATCAACTCTGCTGCAGCCGAAGCTCCGCCGGGAGGCCGAAAAGGCTCCGAAAGAAGAGCAGCTCCTCTTCCCAGATGGCTTAGGGTTTGGGCCCTTTCGCATCATTTGGGGGCTTCCGAAATGTTTGTGGTACCTTGTTGGGGGTCCTTCTTATAAGGGAATCCTGCTGTTTGGGATTTAAATTAAGGGCCCCCTTATTTTCGTAAACCCCCATTTTCAGGAAGTCGGCACCCTGAATCCTTATGCAGTGTGGCAGCAGGGCTTTGACACCACTAGGATGACCCTTAAAAACCCTTCTGAAACAAAGATTCCTAAATACGATCCTCTTAAAAATCCATACGGGGAAATAGTGTAATATCCCTAGGGCCTACCAAGAACCACAGGCCCCTCATGGGTTTCGACATGACGCCTGTGCTGCGGTGGGCATGGGGCGGACAGATTGCTGCAATTCAAGGATTTGCGACTCGGAGGTTTCTAAGTAGGTGCAATTTATGGCTAGGAAGTAACCCAAGTAAGGATGTAGCCAGCAAAGGCTGCGGTGGCCCTAGCGAAAACCCCTCAGGCGGAGGTGCTGCGACATTTGAGATGTTGTCACAGCCCACTGATACATTCGAGCACCCCTTGTCGCAGCCTCGTGTTTCAGACCGTTTTCGCAGACTGGGGCAGTAATCTGTCGCAGACGGGCTTGTCGCAAGCAGGACGGTTTTTGCAACCCCTTGCCACAAAAAGGCTCGGCCTGTTACAAGCTCTTTGCGGTTGGCCCACATCCTTGTGACTTACGGTAAGCGGAAACAAGGTGAATGTGGGCTTGTGGCAGGTGCAGGAAAGAGGTGAAGTGTGCCGACCACAACAAACTACGATGGAGATGCCCTAAACCCTAAACCCTAAAACCCTAAACCTTAAACCCTAAACCCTACTAGAGCCAGCGGCCTCCACAGGTATGGCGTGGGTTTTGGCCCAGTGCTCCTGCATCGGAGTGCTTTGTTTGGGGCATTCAGGCCAAAGATCCTCCGCCCTAACACCGGATGTGAGCAAGGGCCTATAAGGGAACCCTATAAACCCTGAAAAAAGATCATAAGGGGCCTACCGGGTCCTGGCTCAAGTTCTATTCTGCACTTGAGCGCGCTCGCAGTCGGAGTGCTCTGGAAAAGGCGCCAGGTTTTAAGGGTTGGCAGCTTAGAAACCCCCAAGCGAACATTGAAACCGGCAACCCAAAGACCAAAAAACCCTAAAACCCTAAAACCCTAAAACCCGAACACCCTGAAAAACACCTAAACCCTCATCCCGCCTGTGCCAATGCACCAGCAGCGCGGCTCAACAAACCTCCCGCGAGAAGAAGCATTCCTGCAAGAAGATCTAGGGCCCTGGGGTTTACGGTCTGGGTTTAGGGCTCAGGGTAACAAAATAACTTACGCATTCCATATTCTTCAACCCTCCTGCCTCGGGTTGATGCATTCGGGCTTTGGGGGTTGAAGGGGTCTAGGGCCCAATCCACCCTTCAAGCCCTTAGGCCTTTCCTCCCTCCACCCCGAAGTCGTTCAAGAAGGCCCCTGCTTTGGGGTCGTAGTGGTGGTTCACGTTCTAGGGACCCTAAACCAAAGAACCCAACCCTTAAACCCTTAAACCCGCCTAAACCGTTAAACCCTAAACCCCAAACCCTTAAAACCCTGAAACCCGAATTTGCTTTCTAATGGTGCGCTCCTTTCTACGTCAGCAGATCAGTGAGCAATCTTTAAAACCCTGAAACCCTTAAAACCCTTAAGCCCTAAACCCTAAACCCCAAACCCTTAAAGCAAGTCACCGAAGGGTCCTAGGAGGCAGCTCCCGAGGTTGCTATCGCCAGGGCCGTTGTCATGTGCTCCGGCTCCAACAAAGGAGAGCAAGAGGAGCCCTGTGGAGGGTTTAAGGGTTTAGGAATGCAGGGTTGTAGGGTTTAAGGGTTTTAGGTTTGAGGGTTTGAGGGCTTTGAGGGTTTGAGGGTTTGGGGTTTTAGGGTTTGAGGGTTTGAGGGTTTGAGGGTTTGGGGGGTTTAGGGTTTGAGGGTTTGAGGTTTGAGGGTTTGAGGGTTTGAGGGTTTAAGGGTTTAAGGGTTTAAGGGTTTAAGGGTTTAAGGGTTTAAGGGGTATAAGGCTCCAACACAGGAGAGCAAGAGAAGACCTGTGGAGGGTTTAGGGGTTTACGAAGGCAGGGTTTTAGGGCCTTAGGGTTTGAGGGTTTGAGGGTTTGAGGGTTTGAGGGTTTGAGGGTTTGAGGGTTTGAGGGTTTTGGGGTTTCGGGTTGAGGGGGTTTAGGCTTCGCCCAACCCTACATGAACCCCTCGAGCCCTCAAAACCTAAAAGCAACCCCTGATGAACCCTTAGTTTGATGGAACTTACCCCTGATGAACCCTTAGCTTGATGGAACTTTGTGCGGTGCATCGCATCAGAAGTAGGGACGATGAGGAACTGGTCATGGCAACGACTTCGGCTGAACTGGGGCTGCTGCGCTTCTGGGGGTCCAGGCTCGTAGCATTCAGGCGTTGTCTTTTTTAAAGGGTTTTAGGGTTTAGGGTTTAGGGTTTAGGGTTTAGCGTTTAGGGTTTAGGGTTTAGCGTTTAGGGTTTAGGGTTTAGGGTTTAGGGTGTAGGGGTAGGGGGGTGTAAGGCGTGTAGTGTTGACTGGCTTTCGAGTGGGTTCTCTTCAGCCCCCTGAACCTTCAGGCCTGGGCCCAACAATTCGTCAGCTTCTCTGGGCTATCTCAGGTTACATCGGGCCCATAGAGATTAACCATATAAATATATATATATATATATATATATATATGTACCGACCGCCTTGGCCAGATGAGGGCCTGCTAAAGTCCGAGCCCTAGAGCGGTCTAGGGTTTAGGGTTTCGGGTTTAGGGTTTAGGGTTTCGGGTTTCGGGTTTAGGGGTTCGGGTTTCGGGTTTAGGGTCTTTGGAGATTCAAGCTTGGGGTGTTGCAGGGATGAAAGGACACCCCCCCCCGCCCACCCGCCCCACCTTGGGCGGCGCCCTCGACTTTTTGAGCGAACGCGCTCTTCCCCAACCCTAAACCCTAAACCCCAAACCCCAATCCCTAAACCCTAAACCCTAAACCCCAAGCACTAAACCTATAAACCCTACGGTAAGAGTTTTATATCAAGTGTCCCAGAAGCTCAGGATCCCCAAGCTCCCAAACCCGAAGGCCCCAGAGGCTGGAGTTTCGAAACCCTCTACACCTGAGGTATCCCAAAATGCGGCTGGGGCTCCTAAACCCGAAAAAAAACCTAACCCCCCCGCCCTCAACCCTAAACCCCACAAGCCCTAAACCCTAAACCCTAAACCCTAATTCAACCCTAAACCCTAAACCCTATACCTTATACCCTATACCCCAAAAAGGTATGCCGGAAGCTGACTCCAAGGCGCCAGAAGAAAGGAGGAGGACTGCTGCCAGCCTGGGGTCTCTTGTTGTGGGTTTGGGGTTTAGGGTGTAGGGTTTAGGGGGTTTGAAGGTTTAGGGCTTGGGGTCTTGGAAAACCTTTAGCTCCAATGAATCCTGTATTTAGAGTTTTTGGCAGAGTGTTGAGGAAACGGGTGCTGGGTTCTCTGGGGACAAAACGAGCCACTGCTGTAGCCCGTACTGTTTCTTCATGACCACTTTGCCGAGGAAGATGTTCGCAGCAAGGTTGCCGTTCCTTGGGTCCGAACTGTGTCTCCACCCTGGGTTTGAGGCTTAGGGTCCTCCGCAAACTCCAATCAGGAGCTGGTTCAGGTGCAGTCGAAGCTCTTGCGTGCATGACTCTTGGGATTGTCGGATTCGTTATCGACATGGGGCGGGGGGGAGGTCCGGCGCAAGAAACAGGGTAAATAGGGATTTCGGGATATCCTGTAAATGTTAAACAGCTGCTGGGAATCGCAAAACCCTCTGCTTGCGCCCAAGTTTCTTGATGGTGATGAGAACCAGTGTGGGAAGCTTCGTCCCAAGCGCAGCGTTCTGCAGCTGGGTGTAGCCGATGCTGCCTATTTGCACAAGACTCATGGACCCGATGCTTGGGTAAACTGAACACCTAAGACCGCATGAAGCACGTCCCCAGAACCCGACAGGGTCCCAAAACCCTGTAAACCCTTTTGAACCCTTTGAACCGTGTAAACCCCATAGACCCTAAACGACTATTGCTTTGTTAGTGTTGTTTTCTTGGGGAGGCAGGGGGGGGAGAGCTCGTGCACAGCAGCAAGGCAACGCAAGGACCAAGACATGAACCCCCTCAACAAGAGCCCCCATTGATGGAAAGTGTAAAACCTAATGTCTAGAATAGTATTAGGGTTTAGGATTTAGGGTTTAGGGTTTGGGGTTTGGGGTTTAGGGTTTAGGGTTTAGGGTTTAGGGCTTCACCCTTTGCCGGGATTCCAGGAACCACTTATGCCATCGCCCTACGGTTTCGGGCAAATGTGCACTGGGACGTGATTGGACGGAACCAGATTTGCTCTACGAAAACCAAATCGACGACCATGCAGTGCTATTTTCGTTCGTTGACCGGCAGAGAGCATGCGCAACATGTCGCCATTCGTGGATCTGACATACAGAAACTCCTGACACAAACACAGAAGCAAAGACTGGTGTAGCCGGGGGCATACAAACTGTAAATGTCTATGGGCCTCATGGTGCAAGACAGGGATTCTCATGTTCTAAACCTAAGGTTCAACAATGTTTCAACCTAGGACCTCGGGCCTATCATGATTTTAGGCTGTTGCACGTGCCTGCTGCCAGAGTCAGGTGCGCACCTGAGCACGGCGCCCACTGCAACTTCCGGGACCATCGACACGTACGGTGTAGAGTGTAGAGCTCAATGCTAGAAAGGCAGCAAAGAACAGAACAGAAAACAAGAGAGAGAGAGAGAGAGAGAGAGAGAGAGAGCAAAACCCCAAACTCGGATCTGGCGCTTCCACAATTTGGCTGCTGTTTTAAGAATTCAACCTGATGCAACCCTAAACCTGATTTTAACCCTAACTTTGGGAAACCACTACGCCCCTTGCAATGGTCTCAAAATCAGAACCGTCGCCGCTTCTCCGTCTTACACAAAAATCACGGTCGGGCCTGGGAGATTCTGGGAAGGTAGGACGCCCAATGTTTGTACCCTCTAGAAGCGTGAAACTTAGGATTTAGGGCTGTAGGGTGCTGCCCGTGAGGTCGAGGCAAGCGTCTCAGCGGCAGCTGTCGTGGACGGAAGGCGCAGCGAAGAGTCACCAGGATGCCGAAGACGTGCTCCGCAAGGCCTTGATTTGAGGGGAACCCCCAGGTTTAGGGGTTTAGGGGTTTAGGGTTTAGGGCTTAGGGCTTAGGGTTTAGGGTTCAGGGTTCAGGGTTCAGGGTTCAGGGTTCAGGGTTCAGGGTTTAGGGTTTAGGGTCTAAACCCTCATCCACAAGGCGCTTATTAGGGTCTTGCGGATGAGGGGGCTGGGTTGGGAACTTCGAGACGAATCTCCCCGGTTTCTCTATGGGGTTCCACTCAACCCGAAAGCCCGACACTTCCTGAACCCAAGAAAACCTTGAACCTACAGACCCCAAACCCGAAACCTTGAACTTAATCACCCAAGCTCTTAAAAAAATGAAGGCCCATGCAATTCTCGTCCACGGGGCTTATCAGATGAGCGCAGCCCTTGTCCTGCAAGAGGCGACTCAGGATCTTCATTCTTCGCCTTACTCCCTAAAACCTCAACCCTAACCTCCAACACCTAAGCCTTAAACCCCAAACAGACGAGGGTTGCTTAAAGGCTTGTATGGCTTCAGTGCTTTAGGGCGTCCAGGGCTTTTGGGTACGCTTTGAGCGCTTTTGAGGGTTCAAGGTCCCAGGGTTTAAGTTATGAGGCTTAGGGTTTAGGGCTTGGGGTTTAGGGTTTAGGGTTCAGGGTCCCAAGTCTTCAGGGTTTAGGGCTTTCGGTAGGGTTTACGGCTTATAGGGCTTTGGGTTTAGGGCACAAAACCAGCGCGCCCGTGGCCTTGCTGTCTGCAGCCCGGCAACGCCACATCTCATGTCGCAGCCCGAGCACTGAGACCGACACCCGGAAACCCTAAGCCATGGGCTTCTGACCCCTAACCCCTACCACCCTAAACCCTAAACCCTAACCCTGAACCCTAAACCCTAAACCCTAAACGCTAAACCCTAAACCATCAACCATACAACCCTAAACCCTAAACCCTAAACCCCAAACCCCAAACCCCAAACCCCAAACCCCAAACCCCAAACCCCGACCCCTACAACCCAAAACCCTCAGCCTGGCCTGCGAGTTGAGCACTTCGTACGGCGCCTGGCAGGCACAGCCGGAGGCGATGCAGCAGATGACCAGGGCGCCTGGGAGTCCGTTGGTTCTTAGGATTTAGGGTTTAGGGTTTAGGGTTTAGGGTTTAGGGTTTAGGGTTTAGGGTTTAGGGTTTAGGGTTTAGAGTTTAAGGTCGAGGGTTCAGGTTTCAAGTTACATGGTCCCTTAGTATGGTCCCTTACCTTTTTTGAAGGGTTCGGAAGTGTGGGCCCTTGAGTTTTACAGGGTATGCAAGGGGTATATGAGGGGTCTCCAGCGGTTTTTGCGCAGGATTTGTCGGCGGGGCTTTTAGGGTTTTGTGCTTTGGGGTTTGGGGTTTGGGGTTTTTGTGGGCTTTGGAATTTTTGGGTTAGGGGCGATGGGGATTCAGGTCTGAAGGTGCAGGGTGTTGAAGGCTTCAGGGTTTAGTGCAGGGTTGAGGGAGACCCTAAACCCTAAACCCTAAACCCTAAACCCTAAACCCTAAACCCGAAACCCTAAACCCTAAACCCTAAACCCTAAACCCTAAACCCTAAACCTCAAGGTTCGGGCCGCAGGCCGAAGCCCCGAACTCCGAATAAGACCCCCAATGGTCTGAATCGAGGCGCCCAAGGCGAAGCGGCTGGGCTGAGACGGCACCTGCACCTCTTGATCCAGCTGCACCTGCAGGGGGCTTTTAGGGCTGAAGTTTAGGGTTTAGGGTTTAGGGTTTGGGGTTTAGAGTTTTAGGTTGAGGGTTTGGGGTCGCTTAGATACACTGGGTCCCCGCCAAAAAGCAGAGCCCAAAGCCTCTCCAGGTGGACCCTCTAAGCCCTTTATGAAGCCCTTATAGGTCTTGGTCTTAGGGCTTGTTATGGCTGACAAGCAAGGCTTGAAAAGGGCTTGCAGGTCTTGTGGTGTATAGTCCCACTCTTGCCTCTTCGTCAGGGAGCATAAACTTGGGCTCCGTCGACGGCTCGGCTCCTTCACTGAAGGTCCAGCAATCATATTTGGAAGGTTCTGAAGGGCAAAGGCACGTGAACAGCTCTAACACCTAAAAACCCTAAACCCTAAACCCTAAACCCTAAACCCTAAACCCCAGCTTGTTTCCGATCTACTTTGCACCATGCCTCACTTCAGCGGAGCTTCTGCAGCTCTCGTAAGAAGTTCTGCCAAGGCAGGTTTCTGAGCTGGTTTGGGAGGTTTTAGGGGTTTTAGGGGGTTTAGGGGTTTTAGGGGTTTTAGGGGTTTTAGGGGTTTTAGGGGTTTCAGGGGTTTTAGGGGTTTCAGGGGTTTTAGGGGTTTTAGGGGTTTTAGGGGTCTTGGTTTAGGCTCAAAACTGGACCTGCCTGCAGACAGGGGCGAGGCGCTGTCCAAAAGGTCGTCATCGAGAGCGCGGCCGACGTCCTTGGGTTTATACCCTAAACCCTAAACCCTGAACCCTAAATCCTGAACCCTAAACCCTCAACCCTAAACCCTAAACCCCAAACCCTAAACCCTAAACCCTAAACCCTAAACCCGGTGTCTGCGGACTTAAGGCGGCGCTGAAGCTTACAAGGCTGAGTTAGGGTGAAAATCAGCTTTTGGGTTTTCGAGCAGCGTTTCGGAAAACCCGAGAACCTCATCGTTCAAGGCTCCCTACTCAGGTAAGCCTGGAGGGCTGTGAGTTCAGGGTCTAGATCCCAAGATTGGCATTGAGGTTTGGGGTTTAGAATTTCTGGCACACTAAATTTTTGGGACGTCCTAACCTTAAAGAATGGAATGAAGGTCGTACGAGGTCGTGCTAGCTTTGCACAAGGGAAAGCACAAGAGATTTCTTGCAAGTCGTGGGTTGGAGGTTTAGAGCTTAGGAGCAATGTCAGAATGTAACTCAAGCAGACTCATGGTACTAAAAACAGTGCGAGCACTAGCAGCATTCGTCATACGTACTGTCCTACTACTGATTCTATAGTAGAACAGGGCAATTGTCAAAATGGTACGAAGAGTAGACTAAGCTATCAGAAACTATAGACGTGACATTGATGATATGATGGTGATGGCGACGGTGGCAAAATGATAATAGCGCTAACAGTCATACTCATCTAGCATACTAGAAATCGTAACAAAACAACAAAAAACAAAACAGACATAGCGTAATAATGGTAGCATGACTAGGAACAGTAGCAGTAGCAGTAGCAGTAGCAGCAGCAGTAGAAGAAGCGGTAGCCGCAGCAGCATGACCCGTTACAGAAAACTCGGCATGTCCACACCAGTCAGGTCTAAGACTCATCGGCATTCCCATCCGTAGTGCTATCCTGCCAGCAGGAAATTTGGGAGGGAACTGCCTCATACTGGCAGGGTTGATCTACGTGGATTGGGCCGCACCCTGTTCGGGGCTTCGATTCTGTACAGTCGCTCTACACGCACAAAGAGCCCATCAACTGCAAAACACCGCAACGCCGCGGTCCTTAGAAACAACCGGAGCTTCGGGGCAACGTCTACAAGACAGGATGTTGTTTCTCGTTTGGGTGGCTACTGCGGGCCCTTGACCCTAGACCCCACAAAAGCCGAAAACTCCAGGGTCCAGTGGTTTGTGGCCATAGGTAAATATCAGTTCCAGGGGTTTCTGAAGCGCAATCCTGCAAGAATGAAGTTCTATCTCCAAATTCGCACACTAGCTACACTTGCCTGTGGGAGAACACAGCTGAACCCTGAAACCGTGAAACCTTAAACCCGAAACCCTAAACCCTAAACCCTACACCCGTCGTTCGCCTCAAGCAGCTGAACCTCCAAACCCTAGGATCCTCGCGACTCCCCAGCCACAAAGCGCCAGCCGAGCACCAAGCAGCCTCAAATGCCTCAACCGAAAACTGTTCACCCCTCACCGTACTACACCTAAACCCAAACAGACCCAACTCTAATCCCCAAACCCTAAACCCTAAACCCCAAACCCTGGGTCTTCAACCCTCAGCCCCTTCCTCCGCGTCTTCCTCCAGGCAAAGGCTGGGGGCCGAACACAGCCCAGCCCTGCTTGACTGTTTAGGGTTGTGGGGATTTAGGGTTTAGGGTTTAGGGTTTAGGGTTCAGGGTTCAGGGTTTAGGGTTTAGGGTGTAGGGTGTAGGGTGTAGGGTGTAGGGTTTAAGGTTTAGTGCTTAGGGTCAGGGCTTTTAGGTGTTGCAGTTTTTGGAAGGTTGAAGCGTGTTGAAGGCTCAGGGGTTCAGCATGTAGGGGCGTCTGGGTTAAGCAAGCCGCCTCTTGTGTTTCTTTTGGGGGTGAACTTGAAGGGTTTAGGATTTGGGCTTTGGGGGCTTAGGGCTGGGGATGTACAGTAGAGCAGAAGCGCTTGCTTGGAGTGAGGCCGTCGTGAAGCCATCATCTTTCGAGGGCTTAGGGTCTAGGTGTTCTGCTGGGGAGGGGAAGGGGTGTAGGGGGAGAGTCATCTTCGTGATTCGCTTTTCTTCCCTGGCCTGGAACTCACCCTAGTTCGCTCACTCACTCTCTCTCTCTCTCTCTCTCTCTGTGTCTCTCTCTTTCTCACGCTTGAGATCCAAGAAAGCAGCCCCAAAAAGGCCATGGGGTGCTGGGGGCCTCTCCCTCTACCCTGCAAAGCCTGCACGGTTACGAACTTTTAGATCCCTTGTCTTCCCTTAAACCCAATGTAGAAAAACTTGAGGGTGTAGCGCTTTGGGAGGTGTGCGGGTTGGGTACTGAGATTGAGAAGCTCTGCCTGTAGCACTTGGACCCACAACTGACCAATGCAAAGCTCAATAGCCCGGCTTTTGGGCCTCGGGGTGTGGGTCAAGGCTGTCTAAACCCTTGTGCAAGCCGCCCACTGGTGCCAAAAAGATTGGCCCCCAAAACGCAACGGACCCTAACTCGTGGTGATAAAGATCCGGTTCCCCAGCGATTCCTCACAGCAATTGTCCCCACTAAGACCCCGTACGACGAAGCCCCTCAACCCTGAGCACCAGGAGGTTCCCACCTAGAACCCTGAACCCTGGTCGAAAGGTACCGCTGCACTCGCCCGGACCCCCACATCCCCCAGGTTGCTTTGTCTTTTTCCAGGGGGACTGGGAACGTCATTGGGGGCCCTTCTAGGTAATTTAAGATGAACCCGCAAACCCTCAAACTCTACAAGGGTAGTTCTCCAAATTAGTCCCCTATATAGTACGGCTAAGGACCCCGAATCCTAAACCCTGAACCCTAAACCCTAAATTCCTTAACCCTAAACCCTTAACCCTAAACCCTCTTTAAAAAGGGGCCCTAATCTGGAAAACTGCCCACAAGGACCATTTCCGGACGATTGGCTCGTTGAAGCGGCGAGCAGGCAGGCCCAGCATGGTATCCTCACGCTGAAATCTTAGGGTTTAGGGTTTCGGGTTTCGGGTTTAGGGTTTCGGGTTTAGGGTTTCGGGTTTAGGGTTTAGGGTTTAGGGAGTTGGATTTAAGGTTTAGGGTTTCTGCCGGTGTCACTAGTGTCCGCGGGGGCGCGCCAAGGTTTAGGGTTTAGGGTTTCGGGTTTAGGGTTCGAAGCCCTAAGCTCGAAACCTTCTAAGTGGGAGGAGATCTCTCTTGACTTGAGCTGGCAGGCTACATACCGAAGCACCTTAAGCTGGTCAATCCAACTTGGAGGTTCGCAGATAGCTATAACTGGTTTGGGGTTAGGGTTCGCGTTTAGGGTGGGTTACAAGTGGGATTACTCTATATGTGTATATATAGATATAGATATAGATATAGATATAGATATAGATATAGATATAGATATAGATATAGATGTAGATATAGATATAGATACAGATATAGAGTTACGAGTGGCTATAGCTCTTGATGCAAGTGCCCCGGTGCCTCTGGATGCCACCTTTGCCGCAGGCCAGCACCCAAACTGCAGGCGAGGTGGCTGGTTTTGCTGGTTCTCAGGGTCCGGCGTTGAGGAGTTCGGCTAGGCTCGAGGGTTCCGGGTGTGGGGTTTAGGGTTTAGTGGTTGCTCATGAGGATGCGCACTTGGAATGTGAAAAGAAGCAGAATAACTATTTAAAAAAAGAACGCCCAGAGCTAGCCCCAGACCCTGAACCCTTGACCCTAAACCCTGAAACCCAAGCCCGAAACCATGCATTCTTGCGCGGTTTGTCAGTGCTGAAGGTAAAGTCGGCCTGGAAATTTGCGAACCTTCGGGCTTCGCCGCGTTTAGGGATTAGGGTCTGCGGTGTAGGGTTTAGGGTTTAGGGTTTCAAGTCCGTACGCGTGTGGCGTGTTGCTGTTCCGCAATACCACTGAATGAAACCCTAAAGCCTATCAAAGGGTTTAGGGTTTAGGTTTAGGGTTTGCTTTGGAAAGGGTTTAGGGGTTTGTATAGGGTATTGTCAAACTGAAGGACTGTCTCTTTCCAGCGGGCTTTGGGCCTGCAGTTCTCTTAGTGGTTGGAGCTTTTCATTGCTCGCACATGGTGCCCTACGACTGCCCTTGACGCTTGAAGAACACCAAGCCAAAAAGGCAGCCGCCTTCTAAGTGCCCTGAAAACCATGTATCCAGAATGCGGCCTCTTACGGGGACAAGCTGGATCTAGCCCAGGCGGCTGCAAAGAAGTAGCCGCTAGGATTGCCAGGTAAACCCTCAACCCTCAACACTAAACCCCAAAAGTTGCCAGCCCGAAGCCCCCAAAGTGTCTCGACACCATGCCGTGCCTCATCTCGACATGATCTCCTGCGGAGCAGCTTTCTGAGGCCAAACCCTGAAAGTTGGGGTTCCCCCTTCAAACTAACAGTCCTTAATAGGGATGGTATTCGGGGATACCATAGTCCCTATCTGCTGGTATACTAAGGGGAACATCCCAATGTTAAACCCTAGAAGCCTACAACCCCAAAACCCGAAAATCCAAAGGACCACAATACCCTAAATCCCTAAAACCCACCGGGTCCAGTTTTGTAGCTTAAGGCATAGGGGACCGCTTTACAGTCCTAAACCCTCAACCCTAAACCCTAAACCTTAAATCCTAAACCCTAAACCCTAAACCTTAAACCCTACACCGGGTTCTGCGAGACTTGGGGGGTTTGGGGCTTAGGGTTTAGGATGGCTGTAGAAAATCACAGTGTGGTCAACTTCTGCGTGGGAAGAAGGGTACAACGAGGCTCCAACCCATGCTGGCTTCCTAAAGGCTCCTACGTAGTACCTTCTTGGGTAGTATACGAGAACCCCCCATAACCAGACCACAAGGGAACTACATTAGAGCCTCCAGGCTGGCCCCTTGAGCAACGTGAGAGCCCCTAAACGGCACAGAGCCGACGCCGAAAGCGTGGCGGGCCCTGGTCCTGAGTCCACACTGCCAGCGTCTTGACCGGCGGCCGCCATAGGGGCTAAAGCTTACAACCCTAAACCTCAAGAAAGACCCAGAGCACCACTTCAACCTAAGAGGTTTCAATGCACCTCACTAACGGGTTTAGGGTGCTTATGCTTTAGGGTTTAGGGCTTTGGGGGAAACCTTCCCTGCTTCACAGGGCTCCGAACTCTTAAGGTGTATTCCGCCCTCAACCCTCAACCTTCAACCCACCTCGGTTGCGGGTCTTGATACCCTGGATGCCTTCAAGCAGGCCCCCGACCTGTGCCCATGTTTTTGGCTTTGAGCACAATGGCTTCAGCCGGAATCTAGCCGCTTTTACGCTGTAGCCACAAAAGAAAACAACCTTCCAGAGACCAATACCCCCTTTATTCAGGTATAGCCAAGTAACTCAGTGCATAACAAAAGCCCTGAAGATTTCAAGGCGTATTCTCTTCTTAAGAGGCTTCCGGCTCTATAGGCCCGTGCTTGAAGAACCTTGAAAAATCACCTTGACCAGCCCTCAAGCCCAAAACCCTTAACCCCAATCCCTAAACCACCAGGTCTAGAGTCTGGGTTTAAGGTCTAGTGAAACTATTCAGGGCTCCGGTTCGGGAAAAGTTTCGAGGAAAGCTTGAAGGAGCTTCCGCTTCTGACTTTTGAGCATTTTCAGGCTGCAGGGGCTTCAGGGTTCATGGTTGAAGTTTACCCAGAACCCTAAACCCTAAACCCTATACCAATTCGACCCACTCGAGCAACGAAACTTAATTCAGGGCTCTATGGCTCTTGAGAGCTCGTCCATCAGGGTGGGCTTACCCGTGGCTTGAAAGGGCCTGCGGCAAAACAAGGACCCCCAAAGCCCAAAGCTCCCTAAACCCAAAAACCCAGGAAGAAGTACAACTAATGGACTACTAATTTCTGAGCAACAAAACAAAGTAGCCCCCTGAAAAAGAACAAAGCATTAACAAAACTAAGCACCGTTTCCTGAACCAAAAAAGAAAAAGCGAAAACCCCTCAGCTTCCCACGCTCGTTGCCAAGTCCTGTCTCAAGGAGCTGCATCAGCGCCTAAGGAAGGCTTCCCTGGTATGTGGGCATGAGGGTTTTGGCTTGTGGCCTTGGGGCTTTTAGGCTTTAAAAGGCTTCAAGGCTTTTAGGCGTTTAGGCTTTTTGGCTGTTAGGCTTTTGGGGTTTTTGGGTTTTTTGCCTTTTAGGATTTTAGGCTTTTGGGCATTTAGGCTACTAGGATTTTCGGCTCGTAGGTTTTTGGCACAAGGGTTTAGAGGTTAGCCAGCTTGAGCAGCAAGACTTTGAGTGGCTGAGGCCCCAGCATCGAAGCACCCTTGCCTGAAGATCAGAAGGGTTTAGGGCTTAGGGTTGAGGGTTTAGGGTTTGGGGTTTAGGGCTTAGGGTTTGGGGTTTGGGGTTTAGGGATCAGAAGGGTAGGTTTCAGGGTTTGGTGTGGTGGGGTTTGAGGTTGGGATTTGGGGTTTTGAGTTTAGGCTGTGGTGACTACTATTTGCTCAAAAGCCACCAAAAGATGAGAGAGAATAATCCCTGTACTACCCTTATAAGGAAGCATATGTTTCATTGTTTGGGGCTGTTCTGAAGCAAACAGCAGTTGAGGGAATATGTGGCATAAGTGTTGGAAGTTTCAGGGCTTTGCCAAGGCGGCCGGACGAACTTGACGCTTGCTTGGGTCGTCGATACAGGCGAGCTTTGTTTGCGGTTCACGGTGGTGCTGAGCATGGAGGATGGTGCCTAAACCCTAAACCCCGAACCCTGAACCCTAAACCCTAAACCCCAAACCCTAAACATCCAACTCGCTTACGCATGGGCGCGTGGGAAGGAGCTTTAGAAGCTCCCAAGAACCAAGGCGGAAGAACATCACAGCTTGCTCTGCAGCCGTCTGGACCACAGCTCTGTAAACTCCGCCTCGTGAGGGACGCCAGATCTTCTCATGTATCGTTGGGCCCCTCCTGGCATTTTCAGCACTCTTTCCCAAGCTGTGGTGGCAGAGATCTGGCCGCGAGGTTGGATGAGCGACTTCGTGCACCAGAGTAGGACATCCCCTTCCTCAAGATTGCCTGCAGCGCGGATGAAGTCCAGCATTGCCGCAAAGCATTTGGAGGAGAAGGTCGAGCACATCCAGGGTTTGGGCTGCGGCTCCGAGAGGTGAGCTGCACTCACAACTTCCTTCGCAAGAAGCCCGGCTGCGGTCCAGGAGCCATAGCTCCCTGCGTAGGAGGAATGGATTGTGAGGCTCGTGTTCAGCAACACCTCGAGCTCCTCATGCGCATCGATGCCGGCCAGCTCTTGAACAAGGTCCAACGCAGAATGCGCCACCGTCCTTATCAACCACCTCCCAATAGCCGGCACTTTGGCCAGCGCATGGTGGATCACAACACCGTGAACCATGACTTCGTCCGTGAATCCGAGCTGCAGCTTGCGTGCAAGAGCTATCCCACACAGGAGCCCGGCAGTTGTGCATGATGAGCCCAGGGGAAGGAAGATGTGCCGAGGAAGTCTTTTCAGGGTGCCATTTCCAAGCTGCTCACAGAGCTCCAAGATGGCCCCAACGTGGCCGAGGGCGCCGACTCTGTTGTTTCCCCCCGGCGGAAGGGGCAGTCCATGAAGCAAGGCATCGGAGCACTGTTGCAGAACGCGCGTAAAGCCCTCGGCCCATGTTGCACCCGTCCAGCCAGGCAAGGAGATCATGGACATGATGTTTAAGGCGTTGTCCAGCGCCGGGCCTTCTGGGGCAACCACGAGGTTGGAGCAAGGCAAACCGAAGTGGGCTGCATAGATCTGGGTTGCGACAACCTGCACAGAGCTACCCCCGAGGCCCCAAAACTCCGCGGCAACGAATCAAAAAAACCGAAATCCTCTGCCATCGGAAGCCTGGCGACCTGATTGCTTCCTGGCCCCCCAACTGGTGAGATGGCTCCGCCGCCATGAACATCCTTTATGGCCTCGGCAGCGCAGGCGAGCTGAAACTCAAGGGTTCGAACTTTGTTGCCACCGTAGAGCGTGCTTGACATATCCTCACGCTTGAGGGAGACCACGAAGGTCTTTTCGGTCTTGGGATCCTCGAAGCTCAGTGTCCCGATAGGCGTGGGGAACTCACCCAGCTGGTAATGCGCAATCTTGCCTCTGAGCCCTGGAAGATGTCGCTCGAAGGTCCCGGGCAGATTGTCGCGCACCTCCTCCGATGGCTCTCGAACGTCTACGGCAGAGTGCCAGCGCCTCAGCATCCTTGCTGCAGCCGGGACCACCACCACGAAACCGGCGCCGAAGGCCAGGGCCACGCGGCGCGCGACGTCCCGGAGGTCGATCATCACAGCTCTGGCTCTGAAAAGCCCAAGCAAACTCTCGAGGCTCAGAGGTCCCTTCAAGCCCTAGATGCCAGCGCTGCGCGCCACAGCCCGCGCTCTGTGGGGCTCACCCTAACACCCGAAGCCCTCAACCCCAAGCCCGAGACTCTGAACACCCGAACCCCCCCGAAAGCTCGGGGGAACCCAAGAGTCGCAGGTGCAAAGCAAGCGGGGCCTGGCAGGGAAGACGTTGAAAGGGAGATATTTCTCTTATGAGAGGGCCCTAAGCCACAAACCGCCCCAGACAAATAACAATCATGCAAAAACAACGCAGAATGGTCAAAGAGAGAGAGAGAGAGACAGAGAGAGGACAATCCCAATCTAGAACAACGGGGCTCGGGGTTTGACGTCGAAGCTCCGAGAGGGGTCCGACTTTCGAGCAGCCAGCCCCCCCCCCCCGACCGGCGCTCTCTTTTGGGGCCGAGACTTCTCGTACTGCGCGATGACCTCCTCCAAGTGATCTGGGTGGACCTGGGTAACGGGTGATGTGGGTGGACCTGGGTTTAGGGCTTATGGCCCCTATGCACTAACAATGCACGTGTGCTTGAAGTTTCATGGGTACTTAAAAGTAGGCCTAATTCGTAAAAGCGAAGCCCTAAACACTACAACCCTAAGGCTTTAGGCAGCCGATAGTGGATGCCGAAAAGAACCCACATCCGGAGGGTGAAGGTGCAGGATAACTAGAGTCATATTTAGTGGTACTAACCTTTTTAAGGGTACTTAAAGCGGGAGAACCTTAGTCATATTAAGTGGTTGTAACCTGTTTTATGGGCACTTATCACCCTGCTTACAGCTACCCAAGCTCAGCGTCGGGCGATGATGTGCTGCCCTGCAATCTCTGCACCTTGGGAATAAGGAGCCGTGGTTTTCTGTGGGGTTCCCTTGTCCTACTATTTGCTTAAGAGCCCCAAAAGAATGAGAAATAAGCATCCCTATATTGCCCTTAATGAGGAAGAATACTTTCCATTTCTTCGGGTTTCTTAAGCAATTAGTAGTGTCTGGCACTTGCTTATGAGAAGGAGCCCCAATCTGAAACAACCACGCAACCGAAGGCTAAGGCGGCCAAGCCTTTCCTAAGACAGCGGGGGTATGACAGAAACCCCCCACCAAAGCCCCCACATGAGCTTCTGACAGCGGAACTGTTCCGCTTTGACGCAGGCCAGGTTCACCTGGGATTCAGGATTCAGGGCCGCAGGGCACAGGGTTGGTTGCAACGAACCAATCAAGCCCTGAAGCACTGAAGGCCCAAAAAGCGCTCCCCAAATCTTGGCCGGAAGGGCCTAGAAAGAAGGTTGCATAGCTGCAGCCCGCACAAGCTACTCGTTCATGAAGCTCCCAAGAAGCAAACACTCTACACACTAACAAGCAAGCAACAGCCAACCTGAAAGCCTAAACGTCTTAACCACAGTCCCGACGTGCCTCCGGCCCAAACCCGGACCCCCTCCGGGTGCTTCGGCTTCAAGGTTGAGGCGTTGAGGCCTTTGAGGCCTCAAACCTTAAACCTTAAACTTCAAACCTTAAACCTTAACCTTTAGACTTCATACTTTCGGCTTCAGGGTGCGGGGGTTTTGGATTTGGGGTTTAGGGCCCCCCCAAATGCCCGGGAGCCTCCTGCCAGGTCTTTGGGTTGTTTGCCTTCTTCGCCGCCTCAACTGCCTGAGGAGTAGCTTGGGGAGGGTTTAGCGGGTTCGGCGCTTTGTTCTTAGGGGTTAAGGCTTAGGCGTTTTGCTCAGAGCATGGGGTTAGGGGTTTGTGGGCTTTCGTTTTTGCAGTGAGGCTGTCCCTAAACCTTAAACCCTAAACCCTAAGCCCTGAACCCGTGAACCCCATTGCCATGGGCAATTCCACACTCTTCAAGGCATGGCGACAGCCACTTGAAAACGGATGCGAGTTGATGCTTCAAAGATCGGGAGGAATTCCCTCCCCTGCGGCGCCGGTTCAATATCATTAAGGGTTTAGGATTAGCCTCTCCCACCCCCCGAACCCCGACCCCCACCCCCCACCCCCCACCGCCACCCCGACCCCGACCCCCCCCCCACCCCTCTTCATCAAGATCCGGCCTGGGTGTACTCTCCGAGCTGCACGTGGCCTGCAGTGTTCTGCGGGGGTCGTGGGACATTAAGGAGGGACTTGCTAGTGTGTTCAGCTTTGAAACTTGAAACTCTCAGCTTCACTCGGCCTTGTTCCTACTTGCCCTGATAAAGAGCATCCAAACAAAAGGCTCCGATCTCCAACTTGATGAGGATTCATGGTTTGAGCTTCGGGGTTTCAGGGTCGTAGGATGTTTGGGACGCCGCGAAACTAGTCTCAAGCAGAGGACAAAGACCTTCCTTCCCCCAAGGCCCAAGCAGGAGGCGAGGCGTCCGTTGTTTGGAATCGAGGCGTACAAGATCTTGGCAGCCTGGCATGGAGGGAGTCTAGACAACTTCAGCTTTAACTAGACCCAAGAGTAGCCTAGGAATGAAAAAGGGTGCCCTTTCTTGGTTTTAAAGGGGCATTTAAGGGAACCTAGACCCCCCAAAAAAAAGGAATTAGGGCCTACTCTGAGTCCTGGGAGTTCTTGCTTTCCGCTGCCGATCAGCAACGTCTTTTACGATGGAGCATTGCTGTTATCATTGTGCCTGGTGTCGCTGTTATTATCGTGATTCCTGTTCATTTGAGATAATCATCAACTTCTCGTTGCGATTGCAGTTATTGCGGTGCTATAGGTCGACCCTCTGCTTTTCAACTATTTGATACTGCCATTGCTGTGGTTCGTAATATTGTCATTACTGTTACTCTTGTTTGTGTTTTGCTATTGCTATGGCTGTCAGTGCTGCTACTGAAACTATTGCTGCTGCTGCTGTTTGTCGTCAAAACTGGTAGCGTTGCGAGTCATTTTTATTGTGCCCATTCGCGTTGCTGTTATTGTGTGTGTTTTTCTGTCTGATTGTTCTTTCCACGTTAATTTGTTGTTAACTTGCTTGAAGCCGTATGTTGAACTATGAGTTGGTCTCCCTGCATGTCTTTCAGTATTATTTTATGGTTCGGATTATTTCATTTCTTCCACAATGAGTATTGCCGCTTCTAGTTTTACATTTTTGTCTTTGTAGACTTGCTATGCGTTTAGTTACTTGCCTGTGCCTTGGGTAACTAGAATTTCGCCGTGCGCTACTTGAACTTCGTTGTCACAAAGCCCAGTATCTGGGACTTCTTGCTAATGTCTACTATTTCATTGCCAATCCTTGCTGTTTTGCTTTTACACAATAACTATGTTCTTGTTTCTTTCTAACCCTAAACTCTAAAACCGTAAAACCCTAAATCCGAAACACGTTACCTTCTTAGTCTCCCAAAACCCTCACCCAGAAAGTCATCCTAACTCCGAGGTATAGGGAATAGGTTGCTGGGTTTGAGGGCCTAGTTTAGGGTTTGGGGTTGCTTAAGTAGGGGTCATACCTGAAGGCTCAGGAGTACGTTTAAGCAGAGCACCTACAGTTGTGACCCTGCTTGAGGTACGTCCAGGGTTGTGGGTTCAGGGTTGTGGGTTTAGGGCCTATCTGGCTTGAGCTTTTCAGACCCCAAACCGCCTCGAGTTTTTGGGGGGTTCGGGCTGTAGGGCTTAGAGGCTTTACGGTTAAGGGCTTAGCGTTTCGTACAACGTTGTGTTTTGGGGCTCCTTTAAGATATGCTATATCTTGCATACTATATGTTGTACATGATATATTATATGATATAGTATGTATCTATATATATATATATATATATATTTTTTCTACAGTACTCTATATATATATATACATATATATATATATACAGAAAAAGTTTAGGCTTGACGGTTAGGGATTCAAGGCGCAGGCCTTGTAAAACTTCTCATCGTAGAGGCGGTCGCCGACGGACTGGATGTTGGCCTGGGAAGTCTAAAAGGGGTTTAGGGTTCCGGCTTAGGGAAACCTAAAACGCTACACCCGTAAGTAGCCCCTAACACCTAACCCCACGTCAGATTAACATTCGCACCGGTGCTCCAGTGGTCAAGGCTGCATCGAGCAGGGAACAAGGGACTCGGGTATTTGGATATTTTCTTCTTCTATTTGTATAGAGAGAGAAAATTATTCATGTTTATCTATTTATTTGTGTATTTAGTTATTTATTTAGTTCGTTATTGAGTTGACTATTTATGTACATTGCATGTTCATATTCATTGCTACATATATACATATATACATATATACATATATACATATATACATATATACATATATACATATATACATATTATAAACCTTTATATTACATTATACAATTATACAGATATATAACATATTATACATATACTATACATATATTATAATTATACATATATACATATATACATATTATACATTATATATTACATATTACATACATATATACATATATACATATATACATATATATACATATAAACAATATATACATATATACATATATACATATATACATATATACATATATACATATATACATATATACATATATACATATATACATATATACATATATACATATATACATATATACATATATACATACATATATACATATATACATATATACATATATACGTATATACGTATATACATATATATATATACATATATATATATGTACATATATATATACATATATATATATACATATATATATATATATGTATATATATCTATATGTATATACACTATATGTATGTACATATATATAATATAATATGTACACAAAATATAATATGATATGATATGATAGTATAGTATAGCATAGTAAAGTAGAGAAAAGTAGTATAGTATAGTAGGCCCGACATGTCAGCTTATATCTTATAACCCTGCCGAAAAACACGCATGCATCTTCAGCAAGGCAGCTAAGCAACTGACATACCCTGCAAAAGCAAAAATGCCTTCCTGACCTTTAGGGGAGGAGTTACGTGCCTTTGTTCTTGGGTCGGGCTCGTGAGGGTTTAGGGTGTAGGGTTTGGGGGGTTGGTGTTTCGAGCCTCATCCGACATGCAAGCAAGATGCAGTGTTGGTGCCGCTGATGAACTCCTCCATCTCTCCCTTAGCACGGATTCGGGTGTTTCTATTTCCCAAATAGGGGGTGCCCTTAGAACCCAAACCCGAGTTTTTTGGAAACCTCAGTCTCCAAAGTCCGAAAGCAGGGTTGCCTTGAATTAGGACCTCTGTGACCTTTGTGTGGGAAACGTATTGCGGGACCCCTGACCAGCAAGACACCAAGTTAGAACCATAACTTTAAAAAGACTTCCCCCTAAACCCCAATCCCTAAACCCTGACCCTAGAGACTGCACACCCACGTGGGCAGGAAGGGGGAGTGCTGTTATCTGAAAACTCTATCCTCGTATGACTTCTCGAATGTAGAGTCCCCCATTTGGGGGGTCCCGATAGAATACGGCACGCTTATAATCAGACCTAAGAAAATGCGGCTTGTCTAGCCCTTAGTACAAGGTACCTTGCTTGACCGGCCTGCGACGTCCCGCTCCTGAAGAAAGAAAAATCGCTCGAGCTTGCTGCATGAGGGTTGTTCTAAGCTAGGGCTGCCATAGATACAAATAAGTATGTGTATATATATGTATGTACATGTATGCTTCTGTTTTGATATATAAAATGCAGTCATAGATCACTCTTAAGCGGCCTATAGTATAGCCGAAACCCTAAACCCCGCAAAACTCTCTGCGATTGCTCTCCTCCCTTCTTCACCATAAGGCGTGCGCCAACCTCTCTGTTTTCGCGTAGGCGTAGACCAGCTCACCTCGGAGGTGGGGGCTTAGGGGCTAGTGAGGGTTTAGGGAGGTAAGGATGTGCGAGGTTGGTGCTCAAAGGCTCGTGAGGTCTGAAAAGCTGGCGGCTCTGGATTTCAGGAAGCAGCGCAGGGTGCAGAATCTAATACCCCGATACACGAACGCCCTACTACCTCCCCAGAATAACCTAACACCCTCTTGCCCTGATACCCTGCTACCCTCATCATTTACTACCCTGACGGCTTGATACCCCAAATCTCATGCCCTAAACACACTGGGAGCAGGGCTATGCGGGGGTGGGGGTGGGGGGTCTCGCGCCAGGGTGGGGATGGTGAGTTAGGGGATGTTCAGGAGGGTTGAACCCTAAGCCCTAAACCCTGAACCCTTAACCCTGAACCCTAAACCCTAAACCCTAAACCCTAGCTTCTCTTCGTGACAAGGAGCCGTCGATCTGCGAGTCTTTCACCTTGGTGCGGGCCATCATCAAGTAGCGGACCAACCTCAGAGCGTCCCGGAGGGGGGAGCGAAGGAGTGGGTTTTGGGTTTTGGTTTTAGGGTTTGTGTACATATGTGTACATGTGTGTACATGTGTGTACATGTGTGTACATATGTGTACATGTGTGTACATGTGTGTGCATGTGTGTACATGTCTGTACATGTGTGTACGTGCACGTGTGTGTGTGTGTGTGTGTGTGCGTGTGTGTGTACGTGTGTGTACGCGTGTGTGTGTGTGTGTGTGTGTGTGTGTGTGTGTGTGTGTGTGTGTGTGTGCGTGTGTGCGTGTGTGTTTGTGTACATGTGTGTGCGTGCGTGAGTGCGTGTGTGTGTGTGTACATGTGTGTGTGTGTGTGTCTTTGTGCGCTTTATGTGTGTGTGTGTGTGTGCGTGTGTGTGTGTGTGTGTGTGTGTGTGTGTGTGTGTGTGTGTGTGTGTGTGTGTGTGTGTGGGTGCGTGCGTGCGTGCGTGCGTGCGTGCGTGCGTGCGTGCGTGCGTGCGTGCGTGCGTGCGTGCGTGTGTGCGTGTGTGCGTGTGTGTATATGTGTGTGCGTGTGTGTACTGTGTATGTGTATGTGTGTATGTGCGTATGTGTCTGCGTGTGTGTGTGAGAGAGCTTTTTGTTGGGGGCGGGGGGTCCTCAACACTAAATCTAAACCCCTACATCACGAGTCCTTTGTGGGTGATCCTCTCTATCAGGCGTTCTATGATTTCGAGGCAGGGAACCCTCACAACATCAATTGGGGTAAAAACCCGGAGCCCTAAATCTTGAACCCTGCACCTTGAACCCTAAACCCTAAACCCTAGTTATGCGCCATAACCGAAGTCCCAAGTCGATGGATGCTCGAGACTCCAACTCTTCGTAGTTTTCCTCCCTCTCGGCTGCCTGCCACAGTGGGAGGTTCAGGGTTTAGGATTGGGCTGTGGGATTCCTTGGACCCTGAAGGTTTAGGGTTTAGGGTCTAGGGTCAAGGGTTGACGCCCTGAAGCCGGCAAAGTGCCAAAAGACAACCGCCTCGGTAATTCGCGACAGTCGCACCTCAACCTACTTCGCACTCCCCCTTAGCCACCAAGCTGAGCCGACAACTGAAACCCTTACGACCCCACCGATGATGTGCGCACCCTTTTTGTTTCGGAAGGGTGTCAAAGTGGTTTTTGAGGGTTGTCCGCTATTCCTGTTCGGCAGAAAGCTTGACAGCATGTAAGGCTGGCACATTGCTTTGCCAAGAATACGCGCCCCCCCCCATACCGAATATCTAGAACAACGAGGACCAACATGAGATCAACTGCTGAGTCTTTACACGCGTTCCTTGGGGTATGTGTCAGCCAAGGCCCACGCGAGCATGCGGGGCTTGGGTGTAGAAACGTGCTTGCAAGGTTCCCTTAACAGGGATTTTGAGGCTCCGGGCCCTTGAGCCCGAGCTTTGTTAAAGAAGGGTCTTAGGCTCTGCAAGAGAGTCTTAGGTGCCCGGCTGAAATGTACTTACCGAAGGCAACCGTGGTCCAAGAAGGTGTCTAAGAGGCCGGCAGTGTCTTAGACCCCGTCACCAGCCACAGAAGCAGGCTTTCGTGGAGCTTTGACAGATCGAATGTGTAACCCTAAGGCCCTAAGGTTTCAACTTTCGGGGTTTTGTTTTGAGATAGAATTGAAGTGTACAGATTAACGGACTGTTTATGGTGCTATGCGTAGCCTGTCCCCTGTGGCCAAGATGAAATTATACGTCAGGACTGTCTCCCAAGTCCTGCTCAAGCAGGCAGCTGGTATGCCTGAATTGCGTAAACCCACACCCGCAACCACCTTCATCAAGGAAAATCTGCATACCTCTAACACACCCAGTAAAGAAGCTCCTTCTCAAAAAAGCAGGATTGTGGCCCTAGGAAAAGCGCGCCCTTGTAACTGACAGCGTCTGGTTGCAGATGTAGACTGGCACTGAAAGCTGCCCTCATTGGGCTGGAAAACGGATGGCAAATCACGTCAGTCCCTATCCTCCCCCCCAGGTCCGCCTAGGGCCTACCTGCACCACCATTCGCACAATTTTCCCGCAACCCAAGTCCTCGGTACCTTCGTGGCCTAGACCCTGAACTCTAGCATAGATACTGTACTGCCGGACCGTAAGCATCCCTAGGCTTGAAGCTCCACGACGCGAAGGGGGGCTACTTTTCTGTGGGGTGCTGGGCCTCGGGGTTTACAGCGGATCCCCTGAACTACGACCGATGCGCACGCGGAGAAAGACGTAGCGAAAAGGGAAGAAGCCTACCAACAACACCGGGATGACTGCGCCCTCTGTGGAGGCTTGAGGGTTTTGGGGTCCGAGATAAGGGTGTTGGATCTTGGGAGTTTAGGGGTCCAGGGCGGCTCTGGGGTTAGCAGGGTTCAGTGTTAGGGTTTAGGATTTGCGGTTTTGGGCTTAGGGCTTAGGGCTCAGTGTTAGGGTTTAGGATTTACGGTTTTGGGTTTAGGGTTAAGTTTCTGGTTTAGGGTCTAGGGCTTCGGGTGCAGATTAAGGGCTAAGGATCACGGGTGTTAAGCGGTGGTGGCAAGCCCGCCCTAGGTATGGCCAGAACAAGCAAAGTCACTCTCAGAAGGGCCTAGCTCAGCTTAGCCCTTCGAGACGCTCGGGGCCCGCAAAGAGCCGGCAGCGTTCGGCATACTCCAAAGGAACGCGCTCGTAGCCTGAAGACCAGGAGGTATAGGGTCCTTAAGGGAGAGGGCGCTCAGGGGGGGTAGGTACCTAACGTGCCCTAGGGAAGCCTTAGGAAGTAGTGGGGAGTACTAGGGCAGCCTGGTTACAGACCTCCCTTGAACCACCCCTTCCTTAAGGAGTTCAGCAGCTCAGGATGCAGCAATGCAACTATAACCATAACGCATCAGCCCGAAAAATCCTGAACACCAAACCCAGGGCAAGGTGTGGGCCGAACCATATTCCCAGCTTGCACGCTGCAGGAGGGCTTTGCCTTGGGCACCCTGTTGTACCAAGTACCTCTTTGAAGTGGCGTCTTCATCAGCACACCCGGAAGGGACCCGAAGCTGAAACACCCGAGCCTTCAAGTCGCAAATTTCCCAAGGAGCCCCCCCAGGCCCCTACATGGTGTCAATGTTCGCCAAGAGTCATTCACGTTGCGCGTGCGCACGCACTACTCCTAAACTGACTGATTAGACGAAGTGGATAATACAACACCCTTGGTGTCGAAGTGAGGAATAGGGGCCTGTTGACGTTCCTTAAAAGATGCTTCTCAACGCCAAAGCCGAACCTACACTGGGCATGTCTCTGCCAACGAGGCTCGACCACCCTGAACCATGCGGAAGTTGGAAGCCCTGGCAGATCAGGCAAGTTGTGGTTTCTGCTTCAACGCGGAAGGGTTTTAAGGTTGTATGGCTTAGTAGCAGCCCTGTAGACCCTATAGACCATATATAGACCCAAACTCTATAAACCCGAAAAACCCTACAAGCCCTATAAATCCAAAGACGTGGGGAACCACCAGATCAAAGAGTTTCCTCTGGCCTCTACGTGGCCTCTCTGGGAGGGCCTTTTAGGAGCGCCCCCCTTTCGACCTGAACAGCTACCCCAAATCAAAACACCCCTTGCAAAACAGCCCTTGAAGTAGCTCCTTCTTGATACGAGTAACTAACGTGTTGCCGGCCCTTGTATTCCAAACTTGAAGTTTCAGGCGGCAGTGAGAGCTCAGATACAAACCCTCAGCTGCGAACTGGCATGATGTTCTGAATCCAGCCCATTTTTACCCCGGCTCCCCCCCCCCAACCTTTACCCACCCCGTGCGAGGTTGCCTGGCAGCCATTCACACCATTGCTTGGAAGTGCCCCAGTTGCCCTTAGGCCATGAGCAGACTGAAAAGCTGTGAACCGGTCTAGACTCAGTAAAATTAGAGATGAACTCGTAAATGGTGGTTGGTCAAACAGATCCCTAGATTTCCCGCATGAACCCATGGGAACCGAAGCATTTTGCCAAGAAGGACCGAATCTAAGGACCGTAAACCCTCAATCCTAAGCCCTACTAAACTCTAAACCCTAAACCCCCGCCGCCCCCCACATGTTCCCTTGAACACAGCAAAACTTCTGGGACTACAACGTCACAAGGGGAGGATCCCTAGCTCCAAGAGTTTCGACCTAAGTTCATTTTGGGGGGATAGGGATTACCTCCCCCACGGGCTTGAAATCAAGACCCCACACACGAACGACGCCCTGTAAGCCCTCGACCCCACTTGAAGGTTCATGGGAAGCAAGAAGTAGGGTTATACGCTCAATAGGGCTATCACCAGTTAGAACTATAGTTCCCATACTGAAACCTACGCATGAACCCCCAAGCTTGGGGTCTTAGGCTTGAAGGGTTGTGGCGCCTCAGGTCCTTGAAAGGCAGCTGGTTTCCCGTAGGCCTCGGCTTAGGGTTTCGGCTTCTCGGGTCTACCCAGGAAGCCCCTTAGGAAGCCCCTTAGAAACAGAGCCCCGCAGAGTGGAGGAAACCTGGCGGCATGGACCTGAAAGGCTGGAACTGAAGAACCATTCTGGGGGTTGAGGGTTTGGGGTGTAGGGCTTAGGGTGGGGGCTTAACGCCTGGCTTCGGGTTAAAGATCACTGGCTAAGCCGTGCCAACGCATGTGAAATGCGCCTTCTGCGTTGCAGGTCACGCGAAAAGAGCACACTGCACCCCACCCAACACAGCACTATGAAACCCTAGCATTAGACCCTAAACCCTAAACCCTAAACCCGAATCCCTAAACCCTAATGCTTGCACCCTACTAACCCTAAACCTACAAGGCAGGCTAAGGAGTCCGCCGGCCGGAGGCTAAGAACTTTCCCGCATCGTCCACAAGGACAAAGCTCTCGAAGTCCTGTGGTTTGGAGTTTAGGGTATAGGGTTTAGGGTTTATATAGGGTTTAGGGTTTAGGGTTTAGGGCTTAGGGCTTAGGGCTTAGGGCTTAGGGTTTAGGGTTGACAGCTAAGCGGCCTTTTCAAGGCGGCCAAGACCCCTTAAATAAGGGCTTTGGATCTTGGCTTTCACGACTCAAGGCTTGGCGTGCAGGGGTTCTGGCCACGACCTCAACCAAGGTTAGTGAGAGCGGCCAAGACACCCTCAATCAAGGAACATGCCAGCGTTCGCAGTAAGGAACCCTAGATGGGGGCAAACATTGTCTTCCCCCCCTCCGCCCCCTCCGCCCCACCCCCCTCTCCCCAGAGAGCCGGACTTTTGGAAGCGCGGGGTTTAAGGCTTAGAGATCAGGGTTTGGGGCTACAGGGTTGAGGGCGTAAGGCTTTGGAGTCATGTTTGGGGTGATCCACACATCATGGGTTGGAGAACAAGCCGAAGGGCCTATTTAATTGGAATGAGGGGCAGAGGCTGACCGTGAAAATGATTGAGGCTCCTGCATCGTACATACCGCTAGCCCCAGAGTATGAAGGCCTGCACCGAAACCGACCTTTCCCCCCCTCTCCACTGTAGGGTTTAGGGTTGAGGGTTGAGGGTTGAGGGTTGAGGGTTGAGGGTTGAGGGTTGAGGGTTGAGGGTTGAGGGTTGAGGGTTGAGGGTTGAGGGTTGAGGGCCTAACCCCCACTGTTCGGGGCTGGGTCCGGCGGGCACCAGATCAGCTTGAAGGCGATCCTGCCCACAGAGATAGAGAACAGGCGAGATGGCAGCTTGTGTTGGGGTGTTGGGGGTCCCATCCACCCCCCTCCAGGTTGGGAGGGCCGAGGGTTTCGGGATCTTCTGGGGATTTTATAAACACGAATAATTTCTCCTGTCGTATCCCATCTTTTATAGATTGCATCTTGATATTAAAAAAAAAAAACCATCGCACGCTACAAATCCCCCCCTTTCGCACATGATATCACCATTTATTTATATATATATATACACATACATCGTATCTCATATGACATATAACCGACCATTGCAAGGCCGCCTGAAGGCATTCCCCAATCTAAGATCGCTTCCGGCAGGTCTTCAACTGTTGCTTATATTATATCTCGTGTCCAAAAAGGGCATTTGCAAGAATCGTCTCTTTGTCGTAGGAGCTCAAGAGCATTCTAAAGCAGCTTAATTTATAGGTGACTGGTCCTAAAGAACAGTGCAGCTGAAGTGCGAAGTGTGTGTGTGTGTGTGTCTTCGTCGAGGATACATCGCCCACGTTCCTGGCCATGAGCGCGCCTTCCAGACACTGGTTGACTAAAATCGACGCCTGGCAGATCTTCGATCTGCAATTTGCAAATGACTGAGTTGTCGACGTGGGCTTGGGAAACGCCAGGGCGGACAACCGAGCAGTCGACGACGGCTGGGGAAACCGAGCCACTGAGCTTGTTACAAGACGGAACGCTCCGAGTGAACACATGAACCGACGCTTTTTATCCTCCGGAATTTCTTGGTCTCTGCGGGGGCGAGGCCCGCTCCGCAGAGGGATTACAAATTGAGTCTATTGTATTCAGGAGGACTCGGAGCCAGAGCGACTTCGACTCTGGAAACGCTTTCCCTTGCCCTGCAGAATCCAGTAGAAATTTCGGGCGCGCACAGACGGCAGGTGCCTTCTGGATCACATATGATTATTCATAGGAGCATGAAGTATTGGCGCGTAGCTCGAGATCATGATGACACAACGCACTGCGTTGTTGAAGACCCACCGGCTCTCAGATCCGATGAACGGTCCGGCGTGGCGACGTGGCTCATTGCGATCACCTGTCGAAAGGAAAAACGGTCATTTAAAGCCTGGCCGCCTTCGTTTCGGCACCTCGTTCGGCAGCAGATTGGAGGCGTGAATACGATGCACCTGGCTCACTCCGAAATTTGCTAATACGCACGCAGCACACACTCGAGGCAGTGCGTCCTGCCCGATGGAGACAAGGAAGGACCCGGCTTCGACTGGCAGTAGTCGTGCCAGCGGACGGCCCTCGTCTACACGACGCAGTCATTTGCTCTTTCTGAAAGAACGTCATCGGGCCACGTAGGCCGGGACGCAAGCCTCCAACTCGATGGACCTGCAACCACTTGCACGGTGTAAGTAATGCCTTATAGCGCCATGGACGCACTCCGACCTCGTCGTCCGTGTCGGGGTGCACCGGCTGCGACGCGGCCTGCTGCTATTCCATGTGGGCTGGTTGCTTCACAAGGTTGCCGATTCTTCTGGACCCGCCAAATTACAAGTGCAATGCTCTCCGACTCTCTGCCTCTCGGCGTGCGCGTGCGCCGGCACGATCGCTGGACAGTTCTAGTTCGTTGAAAGCTTGCAAGCTCTAGCCGGCCAGCGCCTGACTTGCGAGTTCGGGCTTTTCAGCGGTCACGAACGGGCCCACCCCCTCAGGTCCTCTCGCCGCAAGCTAGCTCCAGGGCGGTCAGGACGACCGTGCCAAACAATCGTTTGCCATAAACAACATTCGTCGCCCTCTTAGCTTCGGCGTTCTCTGTTGTTGGACGCCTACGAGACCTTGCCGGGACAATGAGAGGGCTGAAACGCTGCGGCCGCCTTCGGCGCGCGCGCACTCTCTCTCTCTCTCTCTCTCTCTCTCTCTCTCTCTCTCTCTCTCTCTCTCTCTCTCTCTCTCTCTCTCTCCCTGCGACTTTTCTCTAAACCAAAAGCCTTCGTCCGTAGCATGTTTCTCAACTATACAAAATGGTCAAAAGACTCTATGCACATGGGAAATTTTGGGTTTATCACCCCTCCTTGGGATGCCTTGAAGTCTATACAAAAGGCATACCACCATACTTTCTGCTGGCTCTTTTAGAGCTCGCACTGCCAATTCTCCACTTGAAACACGGCAAAAGTCGCCAGGTTTTCTTTCCTGACTTCCCGAGGAAAATTTCTACCTAGTGTAGCGGGTTCTCGGGTTTAACCCAAAGCGACACACCAAACACAACGCACATGTACATCTACTCTTGCATGGTTCTGTCTGATTGCAAAATGCATACTCAGTACTCGACGTGGCACAAGCTCACTGCAGCATTCATCTCAGCAGCAGCAGCAGCAGCAGCAGCGAAGCCACCACCAGCAGCTCATGTTCACATTCTTCTACTCCAGCACATAGATTCGCCAATGCTCTGGCTCACACAGCTTGCATGGCGCAAGCTCTCGATTCCAGGCTTCCTCCACAGTCACTAAGCTTGTTTGCTTGACCTTCAACAAGGCCTCGCATTGTCGGCTACGATGATAACACTCCCCCCATGAAGAAGCGATCCATGCAGCTCTGTCCCTTTCGCCCTCCAGCGCCAGTGACTTCTCTGCAAACTGCACGAACTGCTTTCTTTGGTCTCTCACAGCTTGCCTTTGCTTTGACCTTGCCACTGAACGTTGCCGAAGAGATTCCAAAGCTGTCTCTCTCCCTTCTCGCACATTCGCCTCATTCACGGAAGTAGTGTTTGCCGAAGACGCTGTCGTAGCTGAGGTAGCTCTCAATGAAGACGAAGTTCTCGGTGAGGTAGCTCTCGGTGAGGTAGCTCTCGGTGAAGACGAAGTTCTCGCTGAAGTAGCTCGCGGTGAGGTAGCTCTCGGTGAAGACGAAGTTCTCGTTGACGTAGCTCGCGGTGAGGTAGCTCTCGGTGAAGACGAAGTTCTCGCTGAAGTAGCTCGCGGCGAGGTAGCTCTCGGTGAAGACGAAGTTCTCGTTGACGTAGCTCGCGGTGAGGTAGCTCTCGGTGAAGACGAAGTTCTCGTTGACGTAGCTCGCGGTGAGGTAGCTCTCGGTGAAGACGAAGTTCTCGTTGACGCAGTTATCGCTCCAATGCCGATGCCCAACACCAGCATGACCAATGCCACTCCAACCACCAAGCTTTCTTTCGAAACAGAGGTCAACATCAGCTTGCCGACCATCACAAACCTTTCCATGATTTGGTAACTCAGCAGCATCATGCACATGAACATTTCCACGATCTTCTCCATAAGTTCGCTCGCTTCAAACTCCGACGATTCTTCCATTGGGCTCACTACACGGCTCAAGGCTATGGCAAGGAGAAAAGCTGAAAGTCTCAAAAGTTGACTGTGTTGCGCAGTAGACGACGAACGAACTCTGTGTACCCTGGCTACAGAACTGGAACTTAAAGCACCATCCGGATTTCGAAAACCCATCAAGGTCAGCAAATATCGGATTCTTTCGCTATGGAGCGGTTTCGTACCGATGTCCGTGGGGTTGTCTGGAGTGCTGATGGGCTTGAGCTGAACTTCTTGTCGTTGAACTAAACCCTGGACCCATAGGAGTCTCACGTCCAGGTGTCTCAGTCGAGAGACCCCCGCCTTGGCCATCACGGCCCGGGCGGAAGATGAATCCAACCTCGCCACCAGCTGCACTTCATCAGGGCACAAGGTTTTCAGGATGTTGCGGAGATAGAGACCCTCCGCAATGGCACTTGACGATGCTATGAGCTCACTTTCACAAGAGGATAAGCTTATCGAGGCTTGTCTTCGGGCGTAGGAAAACATCAGGTTCCCGTCCAAAAACAATGCTCCAGCACTCAAGCTTTTCCGGTCTTTGTTGCCTGCCCAGTCTGAGTCGCTGATGGCTTCCAGGATTCGTACTCGAGGTTCTGGATTTTCCTCCGGCACTTCATCAGGTCTTTCACGCGGGGATTCATCAAGCAAGGTTCGGCCTGGATACGACCATCTCAAGGTGAGGGCATAATCCCGGGTGGAGTACAAATATTCGGCCAAGTACTTCAGGCATTTCATTTGATGTTCACTTGGTTTGGACATTCCCCTTGCAAGCATGCTCACTGTGTGCTGACAATCAGGTCGATCGGGGGCAATGTACAAGATACACCCTAAAGCTGCTCGATACTGAACCGCGGATGCCGGGGACAATGGTGGGGAATCATCACTGGCTCGGATCTCTTGAGTCGAAGGGACCTTTCGACTTCTTGGGCGAGTGATCCCCAAGATCTCTACGACCTTCTCGAGATACTTAGGATCCACAGAGATTTGCAGTCCTTCTTCCACCACCTCGAACGTTCTCTTCAAGAACCGAAGTCGATCACCTGGGCGGCGCAAAGGGTCCGAAACTTCCAACTTATACTTGGATTTCAAGACATTGGTCACCTCATCCAGTGCCTTTGCGGTTCCCCCCATCAAGCCATCATCCACATGAATCGTTGTTCCTTTCTGTGGACCCCCAAAGACTACCGGGCAAGCAAGGTTACTCTCCATCCCAGCTTCGCGAAGATCACCACTCAGTTGCTCGTGCCAGTACACCGGCGCGATCTGTTGCCCCGGGAGGCACTTCAAAACCTTGTACGTCTTCTCGTTCAATCTGATGTACAAAGTCTCTTTCTGGGGTACCATCAACAAGGCATCTTTAACATCAAAGGCTCGAAGTTCCCAGCCAGGTGTGGAAGTAAAGAGGTGAGGAAGCAACCTCAACATCGACGGGGATGTCGCTGGGGAATAGGTGTCTTGTCGGAATGGATTCCAAATTTTGAGTTCCTTACAGACCAATCTAGCCCGTCGGATCCACTTGCGGGTTCTGTACCTCCAATCCATCACATATTGGGTTTTGAGGGTTTCTCGTACGGGGGCTCGTACTGGACTTCCACCAAGACTCCCATGCTCAGCAACCGATTCAGCTCTGTGGCTTTTGACTCCTCTTCCACTATCTCCAATTGCTCTTCGGTGAGGATTGGTGGCCCCTCAGCTTCGGAATTCTCTGACCGTGAGTTTTCAAGACCTTCTTCTTCAGGACTGAAATCTGGAAGATCTTCATCCAAGAATTTCGCATCAAACTGAAGCCCCTCAAACCAATCATCAAGATCTTCATCCCCGACATGATACTCTTCTTCGCCTACCCGGACAGCTCGCACCTTCTTCACTGGAGCCTCTCCTGCATACAGCGGGGGAGCTTGAAGTTGTCCATGCTCTCGCTTCGTACCTTGGCTCGGTGCGCTTTGCAATGACTCTTCTTCTTCTCGAGGTGCTTCAGGTCGAGCTGGATCTACATCTTCTACAGGAACATCTGCGGTTCTCTTCCTTCCTCTTCTTCTTTCTTCTTCTTCTTCTTCTTCTTCTTCTTCTTCTTCTTCTTCTTCTTCTTCTTCTTCTTCTTCTTCTTCTTCTCTTGGCTCATCCCCTCCTGCCTTCGACACCCCATCCCCTCCTGAACTGCTCATCTTTGTTTTCGAACTCTCGGAAGAACTCTCGGAGGGATCGGAGGCAGCCTCATCCCCAGGGCTTTCTTGTGGTAGTGGAACGGGAGTGGGAAGAGGTAGAGGCAAAGACTCCACACTTTGTGGAAGACGATCTTTCAAACCAGGGACAAGCTTCGTTCCTGCAGATACCAACCCATACTTCCATGGCTTCCCTTGGAATTCCTTGAGGACTACTTTGCCCCATGCCTGATCTTGCGGCAACCGTCGGATTGTCGAAGCCACATAGACCCCCAATGCCGTCCCGCATATGTACATATCGTTCTGGAGGGTCTTGCCCAAGAACAATCCTTTAACGAATTTTGGCTTTCCCTTCTTGACGTGAGGACTCGCCAATGCGAAGTATACGGCTTCTCCAAAGCACGCCAGTTTTGGTGCTGAAGGTTCAGGCCTTGGATCTCGGATAGGGAACCGAGCTGCATCTTGAAGACTCAGGTCACCTTCAGCTTGTCTACGGTGCAAATGCCTTACCAGTCTCTTGTAGAGCACGGTCTTTGAACCACTTGCTCCAATACCCAAATGCTTACACGCTTTCTTCAAATCGGCCGCCGACGAGTTGGCATCATAGTTCAAACCCTCTATCTCAATGCTGTCCGGAATCGGTCTCTCCAACTGAATACCAGGGGTCGCAACCTCCGGCATCGGCTCGGGATCCGACAGATTGGCATCATCAGGCATTCCGATCTCGGCGCCCAAGGTCTCGATGGCCTTTTCACCTTCATCAGGCTTGGGCGCTTCGGCATTTGCTGGGGACAGGGTCTCTTCTAAGATTATCCCAGTGGCTTCCAACGATCGCAAGGTCCTTTGCATCACTGTCACCGTCATCGATTCATACAGAATGCCGGGAAGGTACTCATCGCAACTCGACAAGTTGTTCACATTCTGTTGTAGCTCTAAGAGTTCCCACCGACCAGCCACTTTCACCAAAGTCGTTCGGTACTTCCAAACACCCAAGTTGAGGAGAGAAGATGGATTCACAAACTTGAGGCCAACCGAAATGCACACTGGATCCCCTCCTGCAACAAAGGTCCACTTTCGCCCCTCAGCATCTTCCTGCCCTTCTCCTGAAGCAGCTAACTCTTCGGGATCGAAGTTCAACTGGGCGAAAGTTCGACGACCTTCTTGTAGCGGTTGGACTCTTTCGGCTGGGTTCCTGGGACTCACATCGGAAGCCTCCCGGACTGCGAACACTGATGCTTCCACCACGAGGGAATTTCTCTTGAAGGACACGGGCACACTCACATCTTCACAACACAAGCACAGGACATTGTTCTTCCTCTCCAAGGACCAACCCTTCTTCAACAGACGCCCAAGGCTCAGAAGTGGGGAACCTACCGAAGATGCATGGAACTGCTCCTGGATGCACGCGGGACCAAGGTCTAATGTCACCAACCGGCTTCCCAAATTGGGCATCGATCTTCCCTGAGCATCACACATGCGAACATTTCTTTGGGAAGCTTCTGGTTCACTACCCTTCGACAGCCATGCCTCAGGCATCACCGAGACATCCGCGCCCGAATCCAAGACAATCTCCCAACACTGGCCTCCTAACTCTTTGCCTTGGCTCTCTTCATCATCATCAACCATGCGAACGAAGTTCTTGATCCACACCTCATCACCTTCAAGGGCATCATCGACTGTCATGTCAAAGCTTTCCCACACATCATCCGTGGTTTCCTGGATTTCGTCTTCGGGGTCTGAAATGTCGAAGTACTCCGTGACACACCGACACCACCACTCGCTCTCTTCCTCTCTCTCTTCTTCGCCATCGCAATGAAGCTGGTACACAGTGCACAACGGAACACTCTCATCATCTGCAAGGTTGAACACTCGCTTGATGCTTGCACTGCTGCTTGATGGTTTTGTTAAACCCGTGGTGGTTGCCGACCCCGTAGCGGTTGCACTTGAGGAGGTAGTCTGGGGCCCAAGGTTTGAGGCCTCATTGTTGACCTGATTCACCTTTCTCTTGTTCGCGGGATTTTGCCAGCATTCTCGAGACCAATGGCCTCTGCGCCCACAAATCTTGCATGTGTCATCTGGCACCGTTCCTTTTCCTTTTCCTTTGTCCTTTCCTCCTTTCTTCCCTTTTCCTTTATCTCCTTTCTCTCCTCCTCCTTTCCTTTGTCCTTTGTGGAACCCATGACCTTTTCCTGAAGTCCATGCTCCATATCCTTTTCCTTTTACTTTGTCCTTTCCTCCCTTGCCTTTGCCCTTGTCTCCTTTCCTCCAAGGATCACCTTTCACCCGATCCACTTCCATGGGAGCTGAACTATCTTCGCCCGACACAATCTGGCTCGTCCATTTCTGTGTTGTTCTCTCATACCGAAGGACTGTCTCTCGAATTGTCTCACACGTAGCATCCTCCTTGCACTGCAGCGACACGTGGGTTTTGATGCTAGCCGGAAGAGCTCGCACCAAGATTGCTGCCTTGAGTTCTGGATCAACTTCTTTGTGGGAGGACTGCTCGTACTTCCGGCAAAGCTCTTCAAGTTTGAGGATTTGCTCATGCACATTCTGCACCGACATAGACGGAAACTGTGAAATTGCCCCTAACAATGCAAGCGAACGGGATTTCGAAGAGGGTGCAAGGGTTGAGACCAAGAGGCGCCAAGTCTCACATCCATTCCCTTCAGGAACAGATCGAAGCAGTTGTTGTGGCCTCTCGCGGAGAAGGGAAGCAAGTAGGGAGTACATCTGTCGAGAATGCTCGACAGCCTCATCCATCATTGTGTCATGGTCGCAAATGTCATTCGGATTCGCTTCAATCTCATCTAGCAAGGTGCATGCGGAAGGACTCACCACCCGAAGATATTGTTTAAAGCTCCAGGCCCAATCCGGAAACTGCACCAATTCCTCCTCCCTATTCTTTGGTTTGAACTGCTCGGGTTTGCTTATCAGCTTAGCCCACATCCCATTCTCATTCACATTTCGCCGCGCAAGCAGGTCCAGCGTCTCATGCATCTGGCGGGTCTGCTCAGCACTCTGTGTCACAACACGAGCAAGCATGTCCATCACTGCTTCACACTGCACATTGGAAGGAGATCCGGGAGATTGGGCTCCATGTGCTGGGCTGAATGGGTTTGGGGCTTGAGGTAGTTGTGAACTTTCTGCAGCCTGGGACATCGCAAACAAACGCTTTGCAAGGACCTAGCCGTGAACTTCAAAAACGACACTCACCCTCAGCGATCACCTCGGGCCAGCCGACCTTGCCGAAGATCTGCTCCTTGATCGTGTAGGTGTTCTCTTCACTCCAGACGATCTTGCCGAAGTTCTGCTCTCTGATCGTGTAGTAGGTCTCTTCACACCAGACGATCTTGCCGAAGTTCTGCTCGCTGATCGTGTCGTAGGTCTCTTCACACCAGACGATCTTGCCGAGGCCTTACTCGAAGATCCAGCCGCCGAAGAAGACGACGAGGAAGAAGCTGAAGAGCTCCTTGACCCTCCTCCGGTCCGATCCGACCCACTGTCGCCTGGGTCTCGGACCTGCTTAAGGCCCTCGACGAACTGTGCTCTCAGCGGGTTGTCTTGCCCACCGAAATGCTCCAGCACCTGCAGCAAGCGCTTGATGTTCTCGTACTCTACCACTCCAAGCCTGCTGATCGATCTTTGGTTCCGGCCACGATTCTCTCGCAAGTGAACAACCCACAAAGGACTGAACAGTCTCCACAGCTCTCGTCTGTACCTCCCAGTCACTCTGCCCCTTCCCGAGGCAGCTGACTCTGCCGCGGTCTCCAACCCCAGCAGCGGTCGCCAAAGAGCTCGAACAACTGGCCGCCTCTCCAGCAGCCCAACCACTCTCCACGCGCAGCACAGTCGAGGAACTATGCCACCAAAGGTGGAGAGGCCCGGCACACAGGGCTAGGCTGCTACCCTACAAGTGGCTAGGGTCCCGGCCACACAGCTAGAGCACTTTCGGTCTGACCAAGGCCGAGGACCGGTAGTGCTCCGCTACCATGCGACTTTTCTCTAAACCAAAAGCCTTCGTCCGTAGCATGTTTCTCAACTATACAAAATGGTCAAAAGACTCTATGCACATGGGAAATTTTGGGTTTATCACTCCCTCTGTCTCTCTCCGTGCTGCACGCACCTGCGTCTTTACAACATTGCCTACCTCTCCCACACTGGTCCTACACCGTCCACTGTTCGCACTCGGCACCCTCCCGCTTGGCCGCGGTCGCGGCAAGCGCAAGTCTGCGCGCTCCCGCGCTGGCAGCAAGGGCTCTTGCCGAGGCAGAGGTTGCAGAGCTGCGCTCCGCATGTTACCTCGATTCGACTGCTTTCAAATGTGTCTGGAGTCACGCTGCGGTTTAGGGTTTAGCGTTAGGGTCAAATCTCAGTCTCCGGCGCAGCAAGCGTACAGCTCGCCTCGACACCGGCCCAGTAGCAGGTCGACGTCTCGGCAGCGCCTATGAGCGAAAGGACTGTGTAGTCTCACGTGTTTCTGTTGGCGCAAGTGCGCATTCACTGCCTGCGTCGGAGACCACCATGTCGCAGTCCTGCAGGTCAGCGCAATGTGTTTCTCCTACACATGAAAGCAGTGCTGACACGCTTGCTCTGGTGGTCTGACCTCCTCGGCGTCCTCCTCGCCCGACCCCTGCTTGGTTCTCGGGTTGTGTGTGTGTGTGTGTGCGCGGAGGGTCGGGTAGTCTTAGCTTCCGGCCACCTTGCCCTTGTCCCCGGCCTTAGAGCTCTCCGCAGGGGAGTCCTGGCCGAGCACATGCTTACGGTCTGGGTTTGCTGTATCAGGGCTTTCGAGTGTAGAGGCCTAGAGTTTCAGATTTGGGATTTAAACTTCAAAATTTTAAGTAACGAGGTCTTGGGTTTTGAGTTTCAGAGCTCAGGGCTGAGGGTGTAGGGTTTAGCAGAGCTTGAGGGTTTGAAGGCTTTGGGTTTCCGTTTTCCAATTCGGGGTTTCAAAGTTTAGGGTGTCGGTTCAGGATGTCAAGCCTTCAGGTTTTGCGGCTTTTGGGTTTATACGGCCTGCAGCGCCGCCAGCGCCAGGCCGACTTCCAGGTCGTCCGGACTCGCGGACGAGTCGCTGACCTGCACGCACGCGATTCGCTTCGGCTCACTCTCTGGGTCGTGCGCACGCTCCCGCTTCCTCCGCTAACTCGTACGGGTCGTCCACAGCCCGACGTCTTCCGTCGCAGCGTGTCAGACCGTTGCGCTGGGCGTCCAGTACCTTGTGCTGAAGGTACTCCCAAGCGCGGTCGGAGTCCTCACAATCACAAGCACTGTGGGCGCAAGCGGCCTACGGCTGCACTTGGGCCTCGCGGAGTTGCCGGCGCTCGTGCGTGGTCGCAGCGCGGGATGTGGCACGGCTGCGCAGTCTCTCGCTGGACACGAGTGGTTTTCTCCACTCTGCTCGCGAGGACCGCGAGCTGCTCATCGCCTGCAGGCGGCTTCATGCCATTGTGGGCGGATTGCGGCCGAGGATGACCGGCTGGATGTCGTTGAGCAGCTGGCAAGCTCGGATCTGCCCGAAGGAGCTGCGCTGACGTACGTGGCGAAATGGCTCGAAGGCTCCATCGTGGTAGCGCTGGAAGGAGTCTCCTCCGAGTGGGACGTGGTGTTTGGCGAGGGGCCAGTGGTATGTAGACTGCTCTTGGGCGACGTGCAAGATGGCGCAGGACAACGAAGTCCGTATTTCCGGCTAGCGGGCGGCTGGCTTCCACAACTCCGTTCCGCCCGAAGCTCTCGGAAGAGGCTCCGAGAGGAGCGCCGCCCAGAGATGTGAGCACAACATCGCAAGACGCAGCCCCAGCCGCCAAAGCCGTCCGAATGCTGTTTTGCACTGGCACGCCACGGAGCGGGCAGAGCCCCCGTGCGCTTGCTATATAGGTGTCTGTCAACCTTTCCCGAGCCCGTTGTGATGCGAGAGGAGCGTATCTACGGCCGAGTTGCGCAAAATCGTGCTCACAGGTGTTTGCGCAGATGACTACTTCTAGTTATCTTGCTGCAAGATGTTCCTGCAGTGACGACCGATCGCTGCAGCCATCATCCTAGACTTGTGCGTCCGAGCTCGAAGGTATTGCACGAGCAATGTCGCATGCTTCGTGGGCAGACGTCACGGACGATGCGGAGCCCCTACGAGGCCCCACTCGGCGAAGACGAAATTCAGGCTGGTGACCAGCGAGCACGAGTACTATACACGCACGTATATGTTAAAGTCAATATACAATAGGTAAGTCGGAGCGCAGATGGCTTGCGAGCATGTGCTGCACGCTCGCTAAGGTCGGGGGGCTACGTGGTCGTCCTCGTCGAAATCAATCATTTAATCGTCAATGATTTGCCAGAGCTTCAAAAATCATATCAATCGGAAATATTCATGATTATTTTTCCGTCAAAATATTATTATCTAGTAAGGAAATAGAACTTGCTTGACGTACGAATGTGGTGGTCATTAACTTAATTAGTTTGAATATATGCTTAAATATAGATGGATTGTGGGATCTTATTGTGTTAACGAGCCCAATTAGTATCTTGGTAATGGTTGTTCTTCATTAGTGAATAAAAGAGCACAATATTGTAATTATAAGGTAAAGAACGTAGTGATGCACGCTTTAATTATAATATTGGCGAACGAAACCAGTACAAGAAAAGAAGATAAGAAAAAGAAGTAAAATACCAAGAATTAGATGAAAGAAATGTAATGCTGTAAGAAAAAAGAAAAGACAACTATAAAGTGAATCATTAATTGAATATGCGAGAATACGAAATTCTTTAATCTGCAAACTAATAAAAGAGAAGATAAATAGAATGACCACAAAGTGAAGAAAATAATATATTGTGATGAAATTTCTAAATTAATACTTCTAATGCATTATCTGGATGTGAGAAAGAAGAGAAGCCGAAATGAGTTTGAAGAAGATATAGATAGAGAATTAATATCTTTCCATAGAAATCTTTACTAATAATGAAAGGAAAAAATGCTATTTTATTATTAGTGGAATTCCTTAAAGGATTATTAGAAGATAGAAAATGTAGCTTAAAAATATGAAAAAGAATAAAAGCACAAAGAAGAAATGGAAATAGAAAATGAAAGACAAAGAGCCTCTTTAATGTTGGATTGTAAATATAATGTCCTCCACAAAGCCATTCTATTAAAGATGGAAATGGAGATAATAGATTTGTAATTACTGTAACTCCTCATAAACTCATTTGTCCTAAAGGTAAAACATAACCCATAAATGCTGTTCCCATTAAGAAGAAGTAAATAATAATTCCAGAAAACCAAGTATTTGGATTATAAAAATATGAAGCATAAGATATAGCTCTTCCAAGATGAAGAAATATAAAAAGAAAGACAAATGATACACCATTAGAATGAAGATAACGTAAACACCATCCATAATATATTTCTCTAATTAAAAAGAAAAGAGAAAAATATGCTGAATTAATATCTGATGTATAATGTAAACCTAAGAAGATTCCTGTAATAATTTGTAATAAAATAGTAATTCCTAATAAAAAACCAATATTCCAAAAATAATTTATGATCAAAGGACAAGGATATGATTGTAAATGAGATTTCATTAGTAATACAAAATATGCTGCATTCACTTTGTTTCGTTCGTTTATATATTAAATTCACGCATTCACTTCACTACGTTCGTTTCTTTGTAATTTAATATATTTCACTCTCTTCACTTTCTATTTCCTCGCGGGCAAATAAAATATTAAATGGGCCCGCGGTAATAAGGGAATAAGATAGGGATTTCTAATACTAAATCCTTATGGTTGTACTTCGTTCACTCACATTAATACTATTCATGCGCTCACTTACTTCGTGCATTCACTTATAATAGTATTAATATTGAGTTCTCTTCGTAGTTTATTTATTAATTCATCCCGGGCGAATATATTAAATGCCCGGCCGTGAACATAAGGACACAAGATACTAATGTTGTGAGGAAAGATCTCAAAGTCTGGTGTTTACTTCGTTCATATTATTCTTGCGGCCTTCACGCTTCATTGCTTTCATTGTAAGGATTCCTTGTAAACTCCTTTAT